CAACTTCTCCGTTCATTATGTCTATTTTTGAGCAAAAATAAATTTTTAGTAAGTCTAGTTAAACAACGAATGCGGAAAATTGTATCAAGAAATGTATCATCTGACAGACTGAAAATGTCAATGATCATACTGAATAGAACGAATGAATCAACGAACAAATGAACGAACGAACGAAAGAATGAAAAGTGAATGAAAAAAAAATGAAAGAGTTCGAATTAATGAAATGAATGATTGAGATGAGATGACAGACGACTGGCTGGCTGGCTTGGTGGGTCAGTGCCAGCATGAAAGAATGAGTAGATGAACAAGCGAAGATACGATTGAAAGATCGATGAATGAATGTCACAGAGGACATATTGCGTACTTGTCAACGACAATTCCATGACATGTTATGACTTTGACTTCTTTGTTTATCATGAAGTAATTCCCGGCTTAATTAATTGAAGCAGAAAAATGACAAATATTTATATACAAAATCGTCTCCGCCAACCCCCTTGCTATCACGATCTTTTCAAAAGTAACGACCCTTAACCCGCTTATTAATTTTTTCTTGACCTTTTTCAGGTGGTTCTTACTTTTGAGTCTGTGGACGAAATCCTATTGTGTAACCATTCAAATAAAAGCTACTGAACAGTACTTTCCTGAGGTACTGTTTATTATGCTGTACAAGGTGGTTCTAACTTTTGAGTCTGTGGACTTAATCTTATGGTGTAAACATTCAAACTGAATCCGGGGTGTCTGGCAGCATTTTCATTTCTTCGTCGGCTCCTTCCCTGACAGCTCGAAGGGAATGTATGATAGGATGATATCACTTTCTAAACCAAACTTTCTGCACTTCAGTATCCTATTCTTGATTCTACAGCGGAACTTACGGTCCCCAAGATATAGCTCAGAAATATTCGCGAAGATAGTGCGGTCTCTCTCAGCCCAACAACTCCACCCCAACTCCCTCGTCCCTAGCTAGCATTATCACTCGAAATACAAACTTTGGTTCAAAACGGAAGACCTTTTTGACAGCGTAAAAAAACTTATTAGTTCATCCAGCGGCTTCTTTGTAAAATAATTGAAATCATTGTTATCATGGCGGTCAAGTGTTGTATTGATAAAGGTTTTGGTTTGAAAACCATTTAATGTCTTCTACGAGTCAATGAAACCTGCTAAGGTAAGCGTCATCGCTTAACTATTCTTACGTTATTCTTGAAATTTTGAGCCAGAATTTTACGGCCGAGAAATGGTCGAAAATTTAAAGAAGTGGCATTTTTGTCTGTAACAATATTAGTCAGTTTCCACAACTTAAGCTAGCAAGGTCAACATGCTGCATATCAGTGATTTAATTTCATATAACAAATGTCTGCGGCATTGTATTCAGTTAAGGCGGAAGACAGCTGATCGAACTCAGTGAGACTGACTTATATCTACTTCCTTGCGGGTCTAATGCAGAAAAGTAAACTGAAATGCACGAATAAAATGCGACATAAAGCAAGTTCCGCGTGCACTTGCGTTTAGTTTATGGTCAGCGTCTTTCGATCGTTAAAATGCCTACAAACAGAATATCGTGCAACGTTACTACAAGAAAAAAAACAACCGATTTCCTGCTGTTTTCCCATTTCTCATTATCTTTTTAAAGAAAGGAAGATACAATTAACCCTGTTAGATATCAGTTTGTTGTGCTATCAGCTAAAAGCTTTGACAGGGCAACTTAAAGACCTGCTATGTAGCGGACTACAAATCTGCTTTTCTTTTAAGCTTCAATTAAAAATAGTTAAGCGATGCTTTTAAACAAAATCCATAAGTCGTGAATGTTTTAATCAAGTAGCGAAAGTTTGTTATCAATTTCCGGTAAAACAAGCTAAATCTCTTGCACAGATTAGAACTTCACCTTTCCCGTTTCATCTGTCATTTGACAGTGAAAACAATAGCTAGTTTCTTGATTGGCTAATAGCATCCATGTGTGAAGAACTTTTTTAACTTAGTAAAGTGGATGACAATTCAATATACACTTAAGCGTGACATCGCAACAACGACTTCCGAAGAATCCCGTTTCTGAAAATCTGTTGTCCACGCTAAACGAAAACGACAATGGCCTGTATAGTGCGAGGAGAGCCGAAGAAAGTTCTAAACACTGGATTGAAATCTGTACGTGAGAAGATGGATGCCGTCGCAGCGAACACAAGAGCCCAGGTTGATCGAGAAAAGCGAGCAAAAGAAGCTCTCTCTGAAGCGAATTTAAGAGAAGAGCGTGCTTTGAGTAAGAAGAGAAAAATACTGGATGAGATATCAAAGGCAGAACAAGATATGGAGAAAATCGAAACGCAAGTCAGTTACTGTAAGGAACGATTGTACTTTGCCAATCAGAGATACGACGAGAATGCGTACATGAAGGTATTTTTGGAGAAGAATAAAGTTGATGTGGGTTCGATGGAGTGTTCCGTTGAACAGTATCGAGAGAAAACTAAGTCGACTGTCCAGGCTATTGCTAAAATGCAAAAGACCATTGAAAACAAAGAGAGGGAGATTCTGACCCAAGAAAAGCGTGAGTTGACAGCTAGAGATCGAATGAGTAGGATTCAAGAAAAACTCAGGGCAGTGGAGAGAGCAGGCCAGGGATTTTCACAGAATTATACGCCAATAAATGAGAAACAGTATTTGGAAAAATTGGAGGAAATGAAAGAAAAGATCGCCAAGGCTGTTGTCCGGCGAAAGAAGGCTGAAAAGAAAGCAGACGCTTTGGAAAAAAATATTGTGGAAAAAGAAAAACAAATAGCGGTTGTCAAAAAACGAAATGCTGAACTCACGCAGACTACGAATGAACTCAGGGGATCTCGAGTATGACGTGACCTCAAGCCGAGACTAAGCGAAAAACAAGATTTTTTTATAGTTTTAAAAGAACTTAAAACAATCGGCTCACAATTGGCGATCGCACACCAGGAGAGTATTTATGTAGTGCAATAATTGTTGTTTTCATCAAGTTATAAATTTAGTTCTTTTAATGTCGCCGAAAACAATATTTATTGTAAATTATAATTTTCATGTTTGGGCTACCATAATTAATCAAATGGAATATTAAATTTCCAAACATCCCTAAATGTCAGAGGTCAGGCATTTAAGTCCTAAAACACAGTGTATCTGTTTGCGGCATAAGCACTTTGTGTCTTTTGTGTGGAAACAAAAGTAGGTTTTGCTTCAGCGAATTCTATTTAGAGACTATTGATGTGCTTTAAATTTGCTTTTTCAATACTCAAAAGATAATACGAAAATATTGGCTTTCGTTAAGGACCGTGAAAAACAAGTCACGCAAAGGAGACGAAATAAAACATGAAAATTCTCAATATCTAGCAGTTCACTGATTATTAGAAACTTTGTTTGTTTGTCTGCCGCTAAACACACAATCTCGTCAAATAAGTCTAATAATTTCTAAGAAGAAGAGATTGCAGGGTAAATGATAATTTGGCCAACGTCAGGATTTCTAAAAATAGTTTAGGACGTTTTAGTACTTCCTTGTTACATTGGGCTTGTGACGAAGAATTTATTTTCACTTCTCTGAAGCGTATTGCATCACAATCTTACATAGAACTAAAAAGTGAAAGGATCGCAACATCTGTTTGAATTGTTGTTCTGCTTTGAGGGACAACCAAGTGGATGGCGAAAAGTACTTCCTGTACGCCTACAGCTCATCAAACTACGAATCCCTCGGCAAGGCTTACTTGTTCGATTGGTGCGGTTCTAGAGACGTACGGTTACGAAAACGTGACTTCAAAAGTGAATGATGGCTGCTTTAAACTTTATGACGCGTATTCTACCTCGTTTAATTCGTCAAATGTTTGCAAACTTTTTTGGAGTTGAATCCAGTTCTAAAGGACTGTATCAAAGTTCAGGAAAAGGAAAAGAAAGTTGTTGTCTCCTGTTCTTGTCCTCGACAAAACGTGGAATTAGGCACATTCACGTCGTAGTCGGTAAAGAAATGTACAAAAAAGTGTAATGCACTTGCAAAGTTGTTGTTTTGCTAATCTAAGGGCTTCTTCACATGAGCCCGGTTACCGGGACGCCGTTTTGCCTTGGGTTCATTTGAGAAATTTCATCCCGAGGGGCCAAAGATCCTGGGAAGGAGTTCATGGGGCCAAATTCGAGAAAAAAAAGCAAACATGGCGAAATACAAAAATTTTAACTTTGGCTATCATAGCTTCGGCAACTCTTAAAGCTGTACTGTATTACTGCACTCAAATGCGATGCTTATGATGCTTATGTAAATACAGCAGGCAATGCAAGACGATGCTATCCAGACCGCCACAACTCCTCGCGCTCTTTCGTCCCGGTAACCGGGCTGAAGTGTTCATATGGCAAAATTTCCAGCCCACTAACCGAGATTTCGGCAACCGAGCCAGCCCGTCCTTTCTTATGAACACATCGAAAATTCTACGAAGGATTTTGAGGTAAGGCGAGATCTCGGAAACCGGGTCAGCCCGGTCAACCGGGGTCATCCGGGTCAGCCCGGTCAACCGGGGTCATCCGGGTCATCCCGGTCAACCGGGGTCATCCGGGTCATCCCGGTCAACCGGGGTCATCCGGGTCAGCCCGGTCAACCAGGGTCATCCGGGTCAGCCCGGTCAACCGGGATCATCCGGGTCATCCCGGTCACCCGGGGTCATGTGAAGAGGCGCTAAATCTATTGCTTTTTTTGCCGTTCTCGTTGCCGTCGCCGTCGTCGGATCTTAAGCTTCCCACTGAATTGCCATCGAACATTATAAACCCTGCCACTGTCCCCGACAACACGTTTGACGCTCTCTTCTCTACAGAGTCTCCCGCTGCGGTCCAATACCCCCCCTGCCTCCTATGAGCATGCGCTTTCTTTCTTCCTCACTCCCTATGACACTGGCCTCGGCTGTGAAGGAGAGGACGTTAAACTCCCACCTCGGTGGAGATCGCAAATATGTATCGAAGTCGCCGGGCATCAGCAATGTGTTTATTCGTGAGTACCACACTCACTTTTTTATCTCGGACCCCATAAGTTGACTCTGTGGCGCAATGGTAGCGCGTCTGACTCCAGATCAGAAGGCTGCGTGTTCGAATCACGTCGGGGTCAGCTTGATTTTTGTTTCCAAAAACAGCATACAAAGATATCTGGCTTTTATTTCACATGCATGAAAAACACCACTAAATTGACCCCTAGAAGTATAAGAATGTACTCATTTTTTTGATCGCCGATCATACACTTAACTTTGAACCTTCCACGCCTCCCTCCTCTCCACCCCATAGAAACTGGTTTAGTAATCAGTGCTTTCAATTTTTACTTCGGGAACGACTACAAAATCCAGGAGAAATTGGAAGCAGTCTGTATGCAAAATGGGGGGCAAACAAACTGTATTTCGAGCAATTGGGGAAAAAGGAGAGAGAATTTACTCGCTACTTTGCTCAGGCTAGAAGGAAGCAGATCAAATTGGAAATGACCTCGATTTTTTTTTCCTGTTGAGTTTCTGGGAAACGGCTGCTCACCCGGCCCACCCCTCTCCTCAGCCATCATTTTCCTCAAGTAAGAAGTAAGTGTTAATGTTAGCTTAGAGGAGGGGTGGGTGGGCAGTTTCCCAGAACCCTAAATTGATCCCAAATTTATAGCTTGTTACAGAATGTTACGATAAAAATTAGAACAGGAAACAGGAAACGGGTACCGAGCACCTGAAACAGGAAAATGAAACTGAGTGGAAACTTAACCCGTGGCCATGACAGCAGTACCTTCATTACTCACTCTCTGTTTTGTTCCCATTCTTCATTTTCCCGTTTCCAGTGCTCGGTACCTGTTACCCGTCTTTCAGTCAAGTCTCTCTCAGACGGACACCTTTGGAACGGGTCCTGACCAGGGTCCTGACCAGGGTTCTATCTAGGATTTATGGTTTGGAGAAGTCCCGAGTGGCCGAAGGCGTCGAGTTTCCTAGGGGGTTCACGAGTAAGCTCCCCCGGAAATTTTTGGAAATGAGTATGCCCTGAGATGCAATCTGGTGCATTTTGAGACACAATTTTGAGAAATGTTACAGTGTGTGCACCGACCTCGTCGCGTCTGGATAATTTTTCTGATATAGCTACTTATATGCTGTAATGATAACAATATTTTTTATGGGGGAAGTCAGGCATTTTGTACCCTAGATAGAACCCTGCTGACTGTCCGTCTTAGAGAGGTGTCCGGCTTATAGAGTCAAGGTAACGTGACACCAGAAGAGTTGAAATATTTTCTCATTGTGCAATCAAAAGTTCATTTAACGTTCACCTGCTCGTTATCTAAAAGTGTAACAGTATACACTCTAAGAAATAGAGCAAGACTACAAAATATCAAACATTTTGCGATTTACTGTTATGTAGAGCACCTCAGTGCATTTTCGTTCTGAGGTATTTTGCACTGCATAAAGAACTTCCAAATTTTGAAATTGTCCGTTGACGGTTTCAAAAGTGTCCGTTGTCCTTCTTCCGTCTTATAGAGAGTATAGTTACAGTAAAATGAATGAAAAACGGCGGCGACCAACACCAGGTGTCCGTCTTGTAGAGGTGTCCGTTAACTGAAAGTTGACCGTACTAACATCTGTCGGTTATATGCCCAAAAAGCGGCCTAAAAAGCAAAATTCGGAGGAAAAGCCTAGCCAGCTTTCATTCAGCTTCGATTTCTACTGTTCGATTTCTTTACTACCCGGGGTGCTTACCACTTCACAGAAAACTCGGAAATTCCGGATGGAAAGTAAATGGTAATGTCACTTTTCGGAAATTCCAACCGAAAATTGAGGAGTACGTTTTGAGGTAGTCCGTTAATTCCGGTTGGTACGAACAAACGGAATGTTACGTACCATCCAATTTCTCAGTTCCTTCTCGGTTCCAGACTCACGCTACTCAAATCTCCCCCTCTTTGGATTCAAACCGTAACGGATATGGCAATTCTGCAGTAAACTGGTCAATCGCTTACCATTATCACGCTTTCGACATCCCGGCCGGATTCTTCTGTCAAATGGTAAGCACCCCCGCTTTTGCGCTTCTCGAAGTCCTATCCGTTTTCCTTTTCTTTACTTTTGCGAGTGTGACGGGTCTCACACTCTTTGCACATGAAAGAGGATTTCTTTGTAGTCTGTTCACAGTCCATCTATTTTCTTACTATAGCGATCGAGTGCGCCAATGAAATAAGAGCCACTGTGGATTCATTGACCAGATGTATGCGGTTGACTACAGCAATGGCTGGCTCATTAGGTCATAAAAACGAATTTCAAGGGGCTATGCCGCGCTATTTGCTATGAATGCTATCTTCTTAAAAAAAAAAAATTAGTCTTTACACCAACTGAATTCCAAAAATAATGGTTAAAGACTATATTTAGGCACTGAAACTGATTCCCGTCCTCTATAGACCGTTTTCACTCACGTGTCCAGCATCTACGCAAATTTATTGGAACAAAAGAAAGCGTTTACATAACAAAAGAGATCACTTCCCACAGGACTGGTTTGAGACACCAACATGGCCGCCGTGACGTCACGTGAATACGCTCTATTGCAATGGATGGCAGAGGTGGACATGGATTGAAACTTGAAATACATGGAGTTGGGCCAACTTTTCCAAGTTTTAATGCTATGCATGCAAAATTCACCAAATAAAGTATTATTGTTAGTGCTTCCTGATGAAAATTGTTTGATGTCTTCTTCATACCGTGAAATTCCGAAAATAAGTCCCTCCACGTATAAGTCCCTCCAGATATAAGCCCCCCAAACTCGTAACGCAAAAAACTCTCCGTTAAATCGCCCCACCAAATATAAGCCCCCCTGGGGGCTTGTACTTGGAAATTGCCCTCAAATACAAAGTAAAACAAAGGAAAAACGGTCAATTTCCATTCAACTATAAGGCTAGCCCAATCGATTTTGAAACGCAAATTTCCCTCCGTAGATAAGCCCTTCTGAATATAAGGCCCTCCAAAAATAAGCCCCTCAAAAAGGGCCTTTGAAAAATGTAAGCCCCAGGGCTTATTTTCGGAATTTTACGGTAACTCTTCAGGAGCATTTTGTGTATGGGTGATGAGGTACAGAGTAAAGATACAGAAGCACAGAGGTGAACTACAAAAACAATATCCTCGTGACATAACCCCTTTTAACCCTTTAAGACCCGTTAAGAGTGATCAGCATCAAATTTCTCCTTGTAATATCAATGCTTTGTAAAACAGAGTGGTCATGAGAATTAAGGAAGTGGTCACACAAGATGAATTTGCTTGATGTTTTATCAACTTCTCCCCAACACTTCTATGATAAATGAATAGGGGCAACAAATGAGAATTTAAATTTGGTCTTAGGCTTTTAAAGGGTTAGGATGTACCTGTGTAGGAGAATCAAAGCCAGGGTTGTGTTACACACCTTGTTCTGAAGTAATGCATGAAGTTTGACTCCCAAATGTCAGGGGCACCCAACGAGAATATAGTTCAAAACCACTAAAAAATAGCATTGTTAAACGTATTTTCGTATTTAAACGGTAGATATAGGCATATTTTTATCCCCTAAAAATTTTTCATCTGTTCGGATTTCCTAGCTAAAAGTCTAGTGATCCGAAAATTATAGGGATCAAAACTTACCTTTTCGAAAATTTCAGCTAGAAAAAAGGCTCCCGAAAATTCTAGGTGACCGTTTTAGGGTAAAAATCCGTTAAAAATAGGCAGTTATACCATATTTTAGATGTTCGAAAATCCTAGGAAAAGCAGGCAAGCAAGAAATTTTACAACAAATGTTCCGAAAATTCTAGATCTCAAATCGTCTTCCGAACAGATATTTTAACGAAAATTGTCGTTGGGTGCCCCTGAAATGTGTTAAAAATCAAAATCTAAGAAAAACATCCTACTGCCCTCAATTCATTTGCCAAAATATAGTCAAATAGTTTCATGTCAAAGTACTGCTAAAGAGGTTTCATTTGAGTGGTCATACTTTTTTAAAAAGTCAGAACCACCTTGTGCAGCATAATAAATACACTAATACAAAAGCATAGCCTGTGTTGTTGACGTAAATGTGAAGGAAGAAATACTGATATCCTTGTCCCAAGTCCCCAACTGAGTTTCAAATTTCCCTTCAGTCTGATTGGCAAATCAACAATGGCTTTGTTTAACAGGCCAATCATGATGCATACTCAGATCCTGCTACACAGGTGGAGGCCCAGAACAAGGATTTTGGCACTGTTTTGCAGATGAGCTAAACGAATAACGAGGCGTTTAGTTCCGTCTGTAGCACAGGCAAACAAAAGCACTGCGAAAGAGGTTTCATTTGGATGGTCAAACAATATGGTCAAACCATTCAATTTGGCTCAATGATGGAAACGTCAGAACGCGAAATCACAGCACTTCATTGATTAACTCTGGGAGGGAAATGGTTAACCTGGACATGTATGAATATAACATGGTAGTATTTACAATGTTTTCTGGTCAAATTATGCCAGTAATGTCCAGTTATGACTCGGAGTCAGAGCTTGAACTGTCCACTTGAATAGATGCTTTCTTTGATTTCTTCTTCATTGATTCCAGGAAATCTTTCACTAGCACCTTAGGTGGTACAATGTCTAGTGAAGGAAAAGCAATAAGCAATTACTATGTCAGTGGGAGGGAAAGGATCAAGGGCGTGGTACCAGTAAAATGATGTGTACAAAGACCAATGATAAACTGTGACAGCTTTCAAAAACAAAAATTTGGACCTCGCTCAAAGGTATAATTTGTTGGCCAAAATGTTTTTATCTCCTACCACTAGACCTCTTGCCCCCCATTTATACAATTAAGCTCCATCTATATTGCATTTTAATAGCAGGTGAAAATCCACATCAGTTTATGTTACAGAATATTGACAATGTAAAGGACTTTTAGCAGATAAAAATTTCAAGATTTTCTGCAGATGCATGACCCTGGACCCTCTTTTTCCTAGCCTGAGAAAAAAGTCAATATTTTGCAATGCCACCACTGGTTTCCCAGCAAAGTGATGTTGAGGAACGAGCATAGAAATTCCATACTGATAAAGCATCACTACCAACATCTGGGTTGTACTTCTTATTGGTTGAAGCAAATTTTCAGCCAATCAGGAGAACAACCTAGATCTGGGTAGTGTTACGGCATCAATGAGGAATTTGTGTGTTTGTTTCTCAGATGTAAATTGTGAGAAAACCACCTTGATGGCATCGCAAGATGTTGGCCATTTTCTCAGGCTATCTTTCCCCTTGATCTGCACCTAAATAACACAGCAAAGCTTCCTTTGGCTGTCACCTAGAGTTTTAGAATCCATTTTTGGACAACGTGCATTTACAAAAGAGCGTTTACCTCCCAAGAACTGAAGAGCTTCATCATCTTCAACAACCTTTGCTACAATAAAAGATGATAAATCCAGCTTAGTGTCGTTAGTGTTTGGAGTTCTGGAGACTGTAAGTGGTTGAAGCTGGTACAAAAGATTTCATGTGAAAAATATTACATTTACAGTGATAGCACACATTTCCTTAAATATTGTTATTAAAAATAACTCCCAACCACTGAAACAAAATAACTCTTCCTTAAGAGCTAATAAAAAGCCTCCTTCCTAACAAGATGTGTTTAACACCAACCATCACTACTTAAAAATTTATACTATGCAATTCTTGCATGCTTGTTGGCTTGGAGTCCAGAAAAGAATAAAAATTACTTAATAATTTAAGTGGTGCACTGTTTCAGAATAATTTAAACACATTTATTTAACAACATACTTACAAAGGCCTTTATATGACAGATTCTTAGTGTCACTTTCTTTTTTATAGGCAGAGGCAGCTAGATAATTTATAAATAATTCCTGCAAGCAAAACAAATCAAATGTTAATTCAAAATAAAACCTCACTTTAGCAAGTTATATGCGTTATCTATAAATGAATGGAGTAAGATTTTAAAACAACAGCAAAGAAACGCACAAAAAAGTGTGCTGCACATGCAAATTTGTTTTTTCTCTAATTAGATCTATTGTTTTTGTTGCCGTTCTCAATGCCATCGCGGTTTAACATTACATAATTTTATTTTTTGCTTATAAGTATGAGAGCATTGCTTTTAGTCCTGGCTAAATCTATTTAGTAAAATCCGACTAGTGGTCTATTATCAATGCTGCGTTCTTATTGGTTGAGCTGCTACTAGGCTATATGTTATAGCCCACTAGCAGCAAAAAGCATGGACTTTTTGGTGGCAAAAAAGGATTAAAGTCTAGCTTTAACTAGCTAAAAGTTTTTTATTCTTGATATTTTTGACCAACTAGCTGAATTTTACTAAAACAATTATTCCTCGCACCCTCATGGCCTCTGAGTCAATAGTTGGGCTCGAGGAATAATTGTTAAATATTTGTTTTGCCTCAGGCCTGTTGACAGTGTATGTAGCCTGTGTAGCTGGCAGTTTTCTTGATGTGTTTTTCATTTGTGAGTCAAGTACTAGAGACAGCTGCACGAAAGCTGAACCTGACCTGATGCATGGGTGTCTTTTGAACACACTCTGGGTAGAAACACAGACCAAAAAACCGCCAGCTACGCCAGCCTAATTACAGTGCAAAATGCAAATCAGAAATGTTCAAGTTGAACACAATTTTTTCACCATTCTTTCCATTCTTCACTTTTGTCCAGGCAACCAAATTGTAATCGGGCAAGTATTTCATCAGGCTTACTTGCCCAGCTGACGACTCCGATAAAAGATGAATTATGGATCCCTGCTCTGCCAGGTCTCGGCTTTCCAAGAGCAGGAGTGTAAATTAAGTTTGAGTGATCTGATCTAAAGAAGACTTACCGTAGCTTTAGTGACGAGAAATACGGATTCCTGGCTAAAATGTGGCAGATCAGGGGAACTTTTCATGATCGTTTTTATTCGTGCTACAGGTAATTGTGTCAACTTTCCCGCGCCACTATCAGAACTACTAATTTTTTCCGCCATCTTGGATTTTCGACGGAAAAAGTACCTTTGACCAGCGGTGTTAGTCTACCCACAATTCTGTGCAGGCAAAACTGGTTACCAGTCTTTTCGCCGCATGCGAAATGGCCGGCTGAGAGATAAGGGGAATTTGAGATGACAGTTGAAAAACTTTGAAAGTTCTACTGTAACTAAATTTTGACACAACTGTTATTTAATCGTCAAGATCATGGAAGACAATAGAGAGGAGTACAGCGCTGTAGAAACCCAATCTACGGATGGTAACTCCCAGCAGTCCCAGTTCTTACAAACTGACCGTGATCTTGAAGATCAACAAAATGCAAGGGCTTCTCTTAGAGAAAAATTTCTTCGTTTGCTTTTCGCAAGTTGCAACAAACCAGCGTGTTTCTCGATGCACGAAAGAACTTTAGTTCAGGGGATATTTCGTGGCACTGATATTGATATGGAGAACTTGCAAGTTTCTGAGCTACAAACTCCCATGGGAGTGCTTTCCGAGGCACTGTTAAGGTCGTCAGATGTGCTGTCTTTTACAGTGGATTTTGAAGCCTGACCCAGGGAGGCAGTTGCTTAAACATACAGACAATGGACCCTTTTTAAGGAACACGCTTGGGAGCAATCTCAGAATACCCGGCCATCATGCTCCTCTATAAAGCAGACTCAGTCCTCTTCATTTCATTTTTCGTTTTATTGTTTCCATCATTGATACGTACATAATTTACGTTACCATACTATAGACTCGTTATCATATTTTAATAATTAAAACAATCGCGATGAGGGTCTTTGAGGGAGTCTATAGAAAAGCAAAATAATGCTTGAAATTATAGATCCCTTTAAAACTCAGGTTAACTGCAACGTAGCTTATAACAAACTATGATGAGAAATAGAATTAATCACAATTTTATATTTTCTCATCTACTGTAATTATTATTCTTATTCTCATAAAAATTATCGACGAAGCAATAAAATTTTATAAGTTCATTGTTCAACAGAGTTCATACCTATTTTATGCAAACTATAACATGTCCCTTTAATGGGAATTTTATTGTAACAGTCACTGAAAAAATGAAAACTTTAGACTAATTATTTGTCAATGATTTAAATAAAAATCGGCTTACTTTGCTTAAGTTGTGTGTTTCTTCTGTCCTGTGTGGTTTTCTGAGCCAATTATGGTCGTTTAATGTTTACAAGAGAATTACAGAGAGAGCAAACCAGTTCCATTAAAACCCATTAAATGGCCATAAATCGGCTTGGAAACCATACAGGAAATAAGAAAGACAAAATCAATTATGGCAAAAGGTAAGTGTTGACTTGTATCCAGCCCCTTCAGTTTAAAAAGGCAAAGCACCCCTCTCGAAACTATTAGGGAGCTTTAGCCTAAACAACAGTGAACTCAGCAAAAACTTTACACAAAAGGTGAATTCATGCTGCATCAAACTTGTTCGCACTTAATCCATCTCATTCAATTTGTCAAATATTGGCAAATTTTTCTGGAGTTGAATTCTAAAGGACTTTTCTATGTTCACAAACACAAAAACATTGAATCCTTAAATTCTCCTGTTCATGTCTTTCATAAGACATGCATTCAGGCAGTTTCATGTCGTGGTCTTGCAAGAACAGCAATATAAGATTATGTTGGAAAAAGCATGATTCATGTGCGAATTAAGTTGTTGGTTTGCTTAAAAAATATCTAAACCTATTGCTTTTATGATGTTCTCTTTGCTGTCACCATCGTCATTGCTTAAGCTCCCAACTGATTTGCCAAGGCAGATAGGCTGGATAGACCAAGCGGTGTGACAGAAGTTAATTTACACTGTAGGAAGAGTCCATGATTAATGGACAAAAGGACTAATGAACAAGCGTTACTCCCTGCCCTGAGAGACTGCATGCAAGGAGATTAGCACTAACACTCTTTTTTAATATATAGTTCATGTCAGATGAAAATTTAATTGTTGTGGAGTGTAACTGTGTAGATTGATCTGCATAATACTATTTTTGGATTTGATTAATTCAGTTTAGTGTATCACTTGTTATAGTTTTGGGGGTAAAAATACAGACCTTATTTTTATGCTGTCATTTGAAACTAAGTTGTTAATAATAATATTAGAGACAAACTATTTGACTTTACAACATCAGTGAGTTTCAAAATATTCTCTCTAACCATTTCAGAAATATCAACATTCTAATCTTGCATCACAGACTGTTTATAGTTTATGGCAATGAGATTCTCGCAAAAAAATTGAAAGGCTTTTCTGTTGCTTTAGGTGTCATTGCAAGCATTTGTATCATCATCACTAGACTCACTGATGTCATCATCACTCTCATTGACATCATCATCACTGTCATCGACATCACCATCATTGAAATCACTATTGTCATCATCAATATCATCTTCACCATCATCATCACCATCAATTTCTTCATATTTGTTTTCACGTTCCTTCACTCTATTCTTGAAATTACGGAATTCCTTCTGTAAATTCCTCAGCTTAGAAAGAAGCTGTTCTCTAGACATGTAACGATGGTTACTTCTTGAACCCATGTTTCCAGCATGCCCCCTGTCCCTCTGCACTTTCCTAACAAAATTGTTCTGGCACATTTTGCACTCTGAACAAAGTAATTTTGAAGAGCGGAAAATCTGACATCTGCCTGAAAAGATTCTTATTTCCACTGCAGTGGGATCAGAAGCGGCACTGTACTCCGCTATCTTAATAGAAGCATGTGCTAAAAAGCCAGCATCATGGAGGCTTGATCCTTCACACAATGGAGTAACAGCCTCAGGTGGCTTGAAACCTTTACACAACTGTGTAATAGATAAGCACTTTGCCAACATTTCAAGTTCTTCTTTAGGACTCGACATCTGTCCTAGATTCAAACCTGCATACCTTGTGTCTAGTCTGTGTCCATGTGCACTGAGAATGCATTTATACTCTGTATTCTCCTGCCCCTGGTCAGCACGTATCTCTGTGACAACTCGTTGCCCATCCAAAAGCCAGTCTTCAATTCGCAGAATTGACAATGACTTGTCATTATTGATGGCTACTTGCCAGCCAGGAACTTGGATAAAATGTTCACTTGCCGGGCAGTCACTGAATTGTGGTCCATTGACAGAGTTAAAATCCTTTCTGCGCAGATTTCTGAATGCTCGAATCCTCTGTTCTTCTTTATTGAAAGAAAATTTTGTTTCAACTACTTGACCCTTCCAAAGTTTGAGGATGTTATCTCTTAAACAGAACCTGCCTTTTGTCAAGGGATTGCTACCATTCCTTTGTAACAGTTCTTGATCAGATTTTAGATGTGAACTCACACTTGTAATACTTGTACAGTATTCACCACTAGGGTCATACTCATAATTTTTCAAAAGCCTATGATATGAGAATACAGTTGTTAGAGAGCAGTCTGTATTCATTGCCATACCACAAATCACACACTCTGTCATTAGTTGATGACAGTTGAAGACATCATCAAAGGTTACTGAGTCATATATGGCTATTTCGAGAAAGGTTGCAGGAAAAAGTGCAAGTGACAATCCCAAAAGGTATTGAGGGTGGTTTTGTGTTCACTGTTTTTCAAAGAAATTTGAAAGAATGGCACGAGAAGCCATTGATGCCAGTGCTATTAAAAGGAAATTATCTTCAAAAGCTTCAGTGTATTGATCATATCCCAAATTACCTTTCAGGACTGTCATGTGCACATTTTTTGGGTTGAATTCGGCAGGTACAAACTGCATATAACAGGTCACAGGTCACAAGTGATGCAAGTGCAGGCTAGAGAACAGGTCTTTATGCCACAGAAAATAAACAACACTAAAAGTCTCTCCTAGCCTTAATCTTAATCCAGAATAGCGTTTTAGCTAAAGGCAGCGCTGCCAACTCTCCCGGATAATGTGGGAGACTCCAGATTTTGGACCTTATCTCCCAGTCTCCAGATTAGAGGCTGATATCTCCTGGATAATTGCCAAAGTTGCTATTTCTTGTAGAATCGACTTTCCGACCATAAATTTCAATTCTATTTGTGTTGTTTGAGCTACTGTAAACACAGAACGTTTCCCCAGAAATTCTGGTATGCCACTGTAATTTAAGCAATAATGTGGCTAAATATGAACTGTTTATGTGCTATCGACGTTGATTGGAATCAACATGCATTTTTGGCACAAATGACGTCATTTGTTGTGCAATATGACATTATCTATCATTTCTTCCCTATCAATTCTCAATATTTGATGACGTGGGGGGGTTGACAGCCCTGTTTAGGAGAAGCTGCTCATCTCAGTTGCTTATCAATAGAGTAGTGTCCTGCACTTGTGACCTGAGTTTTGTACCTACCAGGGTGGAAATGGAAACTTGGACGAAGCATGACAAGGATATTGATTCTCCCACTCTCGTCCCCAGGCGTATTCGCGCTATCCGAGTGAGGGGAAGAAGGCTAGGGAATTCTCCCGACAAACTTATAACAGCTGAGGTCATGTTCGAAATTGCCGAGGACGACTGGGAACGAGGCTGCGATTCTCCATCTGCACGTCATGCACGTCAGTTCCAGCGAGAACAACCACAAGCCAGGATATTAAATGGCTTAGAAGTCTTAACCTCTTGTCTTCAAATGAGGGTTAAATACGCTGTTAAACTCAAACGTGATTAGACTACAGTACGCAAGGATTATAAGCCTTTGCGCATTTTAGCTAAGCTTAAGCATACACAAACCAGACAAACCTAAGCTTATGGCGAGGAGAATGCTTACCAAAACTTAACGTAGAGAGAACACGGAAACTTGTGAACAGAATCCTTTCTTTTCGTCTTCTTTCGAGCTATAGAGCAGCCTTCTTCGACGCTTGGATGGCTTCGTTTGCTTTCATTAGATGACATATTTCCCACCACTAAAACGAACAAGATCACGGACTCAACCCCGCCGGAAACCGATGGTGCTCAGTTGACCCCGACCCAGTCTTTAGGGAACTTAAGAACCACGACGAAGTTCAAGACGACGACGTCTGTTGACTGGGAAAAGACTGGAACGAGAACGTCGGTTTCGGCGGGAAAAAGGAAAGTTAAGATGCGGTCGGTCGGTAGGTCGACGACGACGACACTGAATGTAAACATAGATGTAAAACTGTGATGTTCGTTCGCAACAAAGTTTTCCGCAATGGCGTCTTTCAAAACAACGCAAGATCTTATTTATTCAAGCCGTACGTCTATTCATTGACGATGAAAAATTTTTTGTGCTGTCTGACCTTTTCGAGTGGAAATACACCTACTTTCCGTACGAAATTGTTCAACTTTCAACTGAATGAGATGGCCGAGTCCGAGTGTCCGTCAGAGTTTAGATTTCGAAAAAGAGACATTCTGATGTGATAGCTGTTTTCCATATAAAGTTTATTTCCTCTATATGAAAGATATATGATTTGCCTTACCTAAATACGTACAAATAAATTTATCACAATTCACTTACGAGTTCGCTCGCTCGGCCTCCTCAGCTGTTGCCATTCTTCAAAGTAAAGTCAATTCATTAGTCGAATTTTCAATCAACATCGCTTGTTTGGAGAAAAAAGGAACGATACCTGGATTTAGGAGGACAAGAAAATGTAAAGGCCTTCAAAAATCGCTTAAAACAGTGGATTTATACCTGCCGAAGCTTGTGGATTGCAGGACCACGTGAGTATACTTTGTTTGGGAATCCGGACGTTTCGTACCCACGGACGTTTCGTACCTAGACGATTCGTACCCAAAGTTGAGATGATTCGTACCCAACGCTAAGATGATTCGTACCCAAAGCTTAGTTGATTCGTAACCAACTGCCGTTTTGATAGTAACACATTTTTAATCATATCTCTCTCAAAACAATCTAAAATAAACATTTATATAAATCAGAACGACTCGTTACCTACGCGCGAGTTAGATCAAATTATAACCACCGCTCACTTTCATTTGCGTAGACTCGTGACGCGTGAGCGGCGCAGATACTAAAGGAGGTGAGACTCTTCATTAACATACAACTCAAAAGGAAATGGTACTTACACGAAATTAGCTTGTTCCCACTTTTCACGGCTGGGTCCAATTTATATGTCGATGTCTGAACTTGTCGAATCATAAACTTTTGTTAGTTCATGCGCTTTCACGCGATCCATTTTGTTAACTCGTTCGCTCTCACACGAGTTAGATGAAATTAACCACCGCTCACTTTCTTTGTGTAGACTCGTGACGCGTGAGCGGCGCCGATACTAGAGGAGGTGAGACTTCAGATTAGTGAAAGCCTTAACTTAAACTATGAAAACACACTGTTTACAACATGAAGACTTGGTTATTGCATGGGTATGAATCCTCTAAGCTTTGGGTACGAAGCATCTAAGCTTTGGGTACGAATCATCTTAGCGTTGGGTACGAATCATCTCAACTTTGGGTACGAATCGTCTGGGTACGAAACGTCCGTGGGTACGAAACGTCCGGTAAGCCTTTGTTTGGCGTCGTCGACGACACCACGACGACGAAATTTACTAGTCGCGCTTGCGCAGTACAGTGTAACTCACTTCCGGTCGTCGTCGACCAAGCCGTCGTCGTGGTTCTTAAGTCCCAAACGACCGAGTGTCACGGTCACTGGGAATCGTTGGAAAAGTGGGCGGGGGACGGGGGTAGAGTTGGGGTGAAAATTTGCTCTTTTCGCTATTAATTGCACCTTTTGCCCTTCATTAACAGAAAATAGAAATTCATTTAAGTTTACCGAAATTCAATAACATCTTATTGTTTAGGAGGAACATTAAGCTTTCTAAAAGTCCTTTATTTTTTTACCTGGTTGCCTGAGGGCCTGAGTTATGACCTCGAGACTTGCTCGGTCGGTCGCTCCGCGACGTGGTAGGTACAAATTCCCACCCCACGGGTGAACTAATAGGCACTCCTGGCACTCCCAACAGTCTTAATTGTAGCACTGAGCGTCTCCAGAGAGTAATTACTTGGTAACAAAATAATGGTACCCACAAACTTTGTGCATTTCCCCAAGTGAAGAAGGCATATTCTGGCTGGATATTTAGCGTGGCAGGCAATTTAACAGACATTCTATATTCCCGAAAGTACCTTTGAATTGTTTCACAAAGTATTTACGGCAATACAAAATGTGCAATACCAGAACTCGTGTCAAGGCTGTGCTCTAACAGAGCCCGGTGGACCCTGAAGCCTTTTGCTCTTGGGCGGCTAGAAATCTTTCTTCTTTCACACAACCATGGGTACCCTAGATTTTACAGGTTCAGAGAACTGGGCTCCTTCAATGCATGTTCCTTACAGCACAGCCTTGCATGTCATCATCCAGAAGGGTTAATGTCTAGTATAAGGGCGGTGTTTGTAACTGTTTTCAAGAATGTCATTTAATTGAACATTTGGAGTATACAAGAGGTCGACTTGTAGCAAGTCTAGGAGTATACTAGCAAATCTAACACATGATTCCAGAACTGTTTCATGTCTTTACGTGTGATTTTTTTATCTTTCGTCATACACAAAAACTTGTGGCAGGGCAACATCCGGTGAAAACATGTAAGTCGAAAGCATATTTTTAAATGAGACTTTGTGCAAATATTGCTTCGCAATGCTAAGGGACAAAATACTTTTTGTCATAAAACTTACAGAGATAGATTATCCCTGATGTGTGTTTAAACAACATTGATTTTCGTGACCATGTTTGTAGATAATGCAGAGTAAGCGCCCCTGGTCAGTGATCAAGACTTTTAAAAATAAATTTCATTTGGTGCCGTTCACAAAAGAACCTAACATCAAATTCTTACGTTTTATCCATACTATCCATGGGACAGGGGCATTAGTGGATATTCTATAATTTAGATTGAGCTCAGTATAAGGTTACTACTTAAGTTTTGAAATGACTACAATGCTGTACAGGACTAAAATGTTTTGATTCTGTTGTCGCATTTCAAAAGAAGATGTTAGTTATTGCTTTTACTAGAAAACAGAACATAGTTGAAACTTAAGTCAAAGGCAACCATGTGCAGCCCAGGGATGGGGAAATTTTTGTGCATTTGACTGGAATGATTTAACCGTAAGCAGCGAATTTGACAGGTAATTTTTGAAAAAGGTCACGTTACGTGGTATTTTGGCTCTTGTGAAATCGTCAATTTTCACTCAAAACAACCCAAACTTTTCAAATGGCAAATGTTATAGGTAAACAGAAACAATTTTCGCGCGCGCCAGAGGAGTACCATGGGTAAGTAAATCTACCCATCCCAGAAAATTTGGTAATCACGTGACCGTACACCGCCCGCCCGAACGAACAAAACATTTTTAAACATGTTGGAAACGTTTCTCCAGTTTGTAATTAACCCACGATTTAAAAAAGACAAACCTGTCAGCGTTGTAAAAGGCGTTTTCAAATACAGCTAAAGATGTTAGCTATTTCGCAACTGTGCGACAAAGTGTAATCCTTGTTAGTCATTTCCTTTATTCTCTTAACTTTCAAGTTTGATTTCAACTATAAGCAATGGTATTTCACTACTTGTTCAGTTTATACCATATTGGGAAAAAAATCTTCAAATGTGGGAATTTGAAAATTAAAAAAAAAAAAAAGAAAATTAGAAGCTGGTCACACTAAGTGGTCAAGAATTTGGACCAAAATGCTGTAGCCTCCTAAGGAGATGGGGCCTCGGCTGTCCTTATTAACTACATACATGTGCTGTTTTCAACTTTCAATCTTGATAATACTACTGAGGGCCTCTTTACATAAAGGTGGGGGACCCCAGGTAGCCTATCCAGGGGCGTAGCCAGCCCATAGACATGTAGGCCAGCGCCTACAAATTTTTGGCTATTTCACCCTACCGCTTGTAATAAATCATGGGTTGTTGGGGTGAGCTAAAAAGCTTAAGAACTGAGGTTAGTGCCTACTAGTCATGCGTGCAATTTTCAGGATATGTGGAAATGAAAGTCAGCCAGGCCTACAACAAGTCAAAAGCTGGCTATGCCCCTGCTCTCCATATAATCTCTCATTTTAATTTGATCACATTTTCATGATAGGGACAGGTGGGTTACCCCACCTAAGCATGTTACCTCATCTACCTGGCCTCCCACCTCCATGTAAACAGGCTTTAAAATAACATTATTACTTATCAAATAAATAAGAAAGACTTTCAAGTCCGTTATTCTATGGCTTGTTCAATAGCACCATGCACATGAAGTCCTCATAGCTAATAGTAATGCTTCCATTCAGATTTGTATCCCTCACTTTGAATGCATCTGTTAAGGCACGCAGCATCACACAGCATTGAATGAAGCTGTCTAGTCTCAAACTACGACGAGCATGTTGGTCAAACCTGTTTGGATAAAGCACAAGACACATTCCAATATTTTTTGCAACAATTTTGCCATGATGGTTTCAACCCAAAACAGTGTAAAATATTACTTAAAAGATAACTGGTTTAACCACATTTGCCAATTTAGAAACAGGAAGGTGCCTAGATATCATCAGGATACCAAGAACATCCCCTTCAATGTTAGAGGACAGATGCAAAGTAGTGACAAAGCATGAATTAGATTTAAGAATTGTGAATAATATTAACCACCCAAATCAAGTATTTCTCACAAAGCCAAATACCAGCCACAGCTAACTTAAGATTACACCAGGTTCAGTAGCATTACCAAAGTCAGGAAGGCAAAGACATACAAACTCTTTACAGCCAGAGCTGCAAGACTCCTCCTTTAATAATCTGTATATTTTTACTTACCTTTATTAGAAATGCATTTAAATATTTCATAGTATGTTTTTCCCTTTTAATTATGTAAATCCATTGTATATGTTATTTTTAAGGATGGATAGATAAATAAAGCTTATTATTAGAAGGAAATTGGGTTGAAAGGGGATTCTCCAGAACCCTTAGCCTATACCAGAGCTAGTTCAAGTGAATTTTGCTACCCTATACTAGACTAAACTCCCCAATCCCCCCTATCCTAGAGTAGCTGTTTTCCAGAAACAACTGAGGTCACTAGCACAGTCCAGCCAAAACAAAACCGATTTGATTTTTTTATATTTTTGAGTGGCAATTCCTGGTTTCCCTAGTCTAGACTAAAATCTTCAGCCAATTGATCAGTTTAAATGAAAAATGATACCCTCTTCTAGACCCAAACTCTCTGATTTATATACCATATCCAAGAGTAAACTGCTTGAAAACCATACCCTTCACAGCGGCACGTACCCATATAGCCCATATATGGCAGTAACCCCCCGGGTGGATTCTAGGATCATCACTGGGGACACATCTGTTGAAATTCTTAAATGTTCCTTAACCCATTCGCCCCTGAACCGCCCGTAACCGCCCGTGCCGATCCAGGTCCTTTCTACCCATTGTGATGTCATCAGTTTTAATGGTCAAGGACAAAACTAACTTGTGCAGAGTGAAGAGATCTTTCAAACCATACCAGAATGAGCACAATTCAGTCAAGGATGCCGGAGAAAGAAGCAAAAAACCACGCAACATTGACCTGAAAATCTCCATGAAAATCTTGTTCCATTGCCCAGCCTAAGATCCTAAAAGCTTTCCTAAAACGCTTCCCACCAAAATGAAGCCTACTAAATGCCCAGCAAGAGAAAAAAAAAATGAGGCAAGAAAAGCGAAAAAAGAAGGGAGGAGAGAAAGCTGTGCTGTGTCACTTTTAAACCCATCTTGAAATTTTGCTTTCTGCGCATGCCCGAACTTCGCAAGCTGATATTTTGCATCTGGATCAGAAGGCTGCGAAGTGTACGACCTGTAAACCGGTTTGTGGTAAGTTTTAGCTCTTTATAGCACGACAGTGACCAGAAAACCACTCGACTAGCTTGAAAACGCGTTTTTCGGCAAAATCTCCGGGAGCGAATGGGTTAAGAAGCCAGCTTTTAGATAATTTTGTAAATACTTCTTAATTAAGTTTAAAACATTGTAATTAGTAATTAGCTAACATTATTAGTTATTATAAAATAATGTAATATAATCATTGTTCCTGAAAAGCCCCTTCGGGGAGGTAACAATAAAGTATGTATGTATGTATGTATGTATGTATGTATGTATGTATGTATGTACCGGTCAAATAAAGGCCAATTTGTCTCCCTGTCCCCACAGTCCCAGAAGTCTTTACTCATTTCTATAAATTGGCAAATTGCACCTCTTTTGTTTCTAAGAAGTCAAGGTTACCAGAGTTCAAAATTTTGGAGGTGGGGATTTCAGACCCCATTTCTTCTACGTCACCATTAAGCAAAATACTTTAGTGAACCCTGAGATCACTGTTTGAACCAGGAGAATGTTCACTTCATGCGAGCTGTAGAATACTGATGATGTCACATACCTAGTGATAATACCAGATGCAACATGGGATATTATTTAATCATCTACTTTGAAAAAATGGCTTAGCCTGCCATGAGCCTCTCTACAAAACTTAGTTGAGTGACAATGATTTTCACTGGTATTTGGTAAAATACATGATTTTGTACAATGTGACTAGAACTGGTAACGACCTATCAAGCTAATAATTTCAGTTAGTACGCAGCTCTTAAAAACCTCTAATTTCATTGGTTCTCTATAGCACGCAGCTCCATTGTTTTAGGGATAGAGTCATTGTTATATTTTTATGTCTATTGTTTTCACAGCCAATACTGTGAGACATGGGTCTGTTTGAATAATAATAATAATAATAATAATAATAATAATAATAATAATAATACCCTGGTAATAATAAAAAACAGAAACAAAACCAATAACCACAGCAACAATAGTAACAAGGGACCCATTCAGTTATTAGAGTAGCCAAGCAATGTCTACAAGGTCGTTGCTGGGAGATTTTCCTTTTCCTGTAAGAGTTATGTACGGTACATACATGTATATTTCATATTTGTCATTATTAAACAGACATACTTTGTTACAACAAGGCTGACAAAGTTAGCAGAAACATTGAATCCCATCTCAGCAAATGCTCTGTGCAACTCATGACCCTCTATTGCTCCAGATCTGTCCTGATCATACCTGTCAAATGCTCCCTTCCATTGGTTAATATATTTCCATAATTGCTGAAATTCTTGAAAATTTATGGTACCAGACTGATCTTGGTCAAATATACCTGGAAATATACCAGTGGTTATCAAAACCAAGAAGAACTCTGTTGAGTATTATACAAGACTTAAAGTTTTTATTAATTAATTTTTGGTTGATCAAGCATCAGGAGTGGTAGTCTTGTCTTTCTAACTAATATGGAGGGCTGAGTAAAAAGCACTCAACGACACATGCTACTCAGTGATTTTGTGAACAACTGACAAGCAAGGGGGCTGAGTGCTAACAGTGCTTATGACCAATGAAATAAAAAAAAATCAGGTAAATTTTTTAAAAGAAAGTAACATTAATCAGAACATTCTCATTTTCTTTGACTTACTCTGATCATAACCCATCACTGAAAACCAGATCACTGGAGTCTAGCACAGAAGAGGAAGAGCAAGCAATCACAATGCTTACTCCCACACTTTTTGATGCCTTGCGATTGGTTATGTCTTCTGCTTATGCTTGTGAATTCAATGATCAGAGCCACTTTGTTCAAAAGTTGGATAGTGCTATACAATGTATAAATCACTATCCAGTCGATAGCAATAGCACTATCCACTATTAATTTTGAACTACTAGCCTATGGTTTTCAACAGCTAATTTTTAAGCACCAAAACTGGAGTCTTAAGTGGAATATGAAATTCTACATAACCACCGTAAGGATAAGCTAAGTAGGCAGAGCGATTGACTTCAGAGCAGGAGGCGATGGGTTCAATTCCCGGGGCCCAACCAATGCTCAGAGTCTTAAAATAACAGTGAAATGAAGGTACCGCTCGGCATGACCACATCTCCAGTTATAAGCGATGCAAAAATAGTGCCCTCAATTAGCGCCGACCATTTTTGAAAACTATTTCCTCTAGATTGTAAACTTTTGTACTTCTAGGTTGTTTACCATTATTTTGATGGGAAACCAGTTGGTCCATGCTTTGGGCAAATGGTACACAAAATGCAGGACTGGTAAATTTCGTCCCAGAATCGTATTTTCCATCAGTACAAATCAGTTACCAAAAAATGACCATAAGGGAAAGTTCATTTAATATGACAAGGGGGGGATGAAGATATTGAGGGGGGGCTCCGAAAATTTTTAGACACCTGAAGGGGGGGCTCTGAAAAATTGTTGCGCTAGGAGGGGGGGGTCCGAAAATTTGTATACTTCAAAACCAACACCCATGACATCATCATACAGATCGGATGGTTTTCAACTCAACAATTTAATGACCTGTGCAACTCAGCTATATCACGTGGTTTACAGATACAACAAATGTAACAATCCCAAAATGTTGTAGTCTCAAGGGGTATAAACCATTGAAAAATTTTTATTTAATACAGTCTACTTTTTTCAGGGGAGGGAATTGGGGGGGGGGGGGCTCTGAAATTTTTTCGACTACCAAGGAGGGGGCTCCTAAAAGATTGAACTGCTAGCGAGGGGGGCTGCTAAAATTTCAAGCTTCGAGTTTCAATATCTTCATGCCCCCACCTTGTCATATTAAATGAACTTTCCCTAAAGGCCTGAAACTAGTATCAAAGAATGCTTTAAAGAAATGGAACATGAATTTCTGCTAGGAATATTCTTTCTGGATTACAAACAGGATTACCTTTTCAAACGTTCCATTTCTCCTGGAAATATTCTGCCAGAATGACCTAAACGTTTGTGTTCCTTTTACATTCCAACCAGATTTTCTGAAAAAACTTTTTGTAAATGGTAAAACAACCCTAATAACTACCCGAACTCAGTTGCTAGCCAAAAATAGCTTAGAAATGGTGTTACATAATATACCTATCATTAGCCGACAAGTCTCACTGTTGAACTGTGACCAGTTTCCATTTATTAATGCTTGCTGGAGTTCATCTGCTGTTATCTGCCCTGATTTATCCCTGTCAACTGTGATAAACCAATTCCACAAAGTATGATCTGCTCCTGGTGGAGGACCTGGGGGTCCTCCAAAGTGCCCTGGGTATCCCCCACCATGTGCTGGATAACCCATCTGAGGAGGGTAGCCTGGTGTGCTTCCATAACCTGACATTCCATAACCTGTTGAAAAGGACAGGTATTGTATCGTGGGGGAATACTAATGTAACTAACAAACTCATTGTTTATTCACTAACTGGGGGTATTTATACTACGTTGTTAATTTTTATGTATTCTTGGTTTTTAGAAGACATCACCAAAATAATTAACAGTTATCGATCCTCTGAGTTTTTTCACTTTGAAAGGGTTCTTTGTTTTGTGATAATTTCTAACCTTTTGCACAACATGGCATTTTGAGGCGGCTCAGAGAGCTGTCATGTAGGTTAAAAAGACACTTATTTTGGGGGATTTTGCTATCTGAACAGTCAAAACAAGAAGTGTCAAAACAGTGTCAACTCTACTCCATGCCCAAGGAACCACCCTCACTCCGAAGAAATTCCTGTTTCCCTATTTGCTTGGTAATTCTAAATGAAGATACAATACTTTCATACGATTAGAGAAAGAGATTATGAAGAAAATCCAAAATCTTTTCTGACTGCCAGGCATTTTTAGGACCCTTTCCCGCTGCCGGGCATATAGCCACAGCATAATTATTACAGGTATCTATAATTTTTTTAAAAGACAATAACTCATGTTAGTCATGTCTCTATTTCTTATACTCTTTAACTCTCTATATTGAAGCAGACATATCTTTAAGATGGGCACTTTCTGTTACACCAGTGGTGTCTGTCCATCTAAGAGAGGGAGAGGGAAAGAAAGAAAGGGACGGGGCAATTCGTGGTCTAACAGTCATGTTGCCTTTTGTAGTTTCAAACAATAAGCTTATATATAGACTTGAAAACGAAGTACGCCTTTCATTCCCACTTTTCTTTGCAACTTTACTTTAACTTTACTTTAACTTTATTATTCCATCGCTCATATAGTACAAACTCAGTAAAGCCAAAGCCGGGGGCTTATACGCCTGTGGTCAGAATGAGAGAAATTATGTTATATAGAAATGAAGACTGTAGGCTAAACTACAAAACTACAAAACTAAAACAAGATACAAAACTGAAATTAAATAAGTTAACATGCATGCAGTCCTGTAACAGTCCATAACTAGTGACAAATAAACCAACAATAAGCTATGAGAATCCTGCGCTAGTTCAACTTAGGCTTAAAAAGTGAAGTTTTAGTTTCTTTTTGAAGTTCCTAGTGGTAAGGCTGTCACGAACAGTCAAGGAAATATCGCTCCAAATAGTCGGGGCTTGAGAACTAATCGCAAATTGATACCTGAGGGACATTTTATGCAAGTTGAAGCGAGAGAATAATCTTATTAAAGATAATCATGAAAATCACGAACAGGTTAGATAATTAGGAGAAGTTTTTGTGTTGAAAAACAAACAAAATGTTTTAGCATTTTTTGTTTTACATTCTTAGAAAATTGGAGCGAACAGTTCAAAAAGAACACCTGAAAAGAAAAAAAACAAGATTTAATTTTGAAAAGAGAAAACAAGTGGAAAATTAAACTTCCTTTTTTAGGAAAATGGGATGAGGAAATTGTACCCAGGAGACCCGCCATCTTGGTAACTGAGAGGTAACTGAAGACACCATATTGATTAGGAGAAGTTTTTGTGTTGAAGTTTTAGCTTCCTTCGCTTCATTTTACATTCTTAGAAATGATTGGAGCGAACGAGTTCAAAAACACCTGTGCGAAAAGAAAAAAAAAACAAGATCGAACACGTTATATTTTGAAAAGAGAAGTAAGGTAACTGACTACAAGGGTTAAAATGACGATTATCGTACCTTGATGAGGTGGTTGTTGCCCGCCATACGGATTGTACCCAGGATATTGACCCGCCATCTTGAATATGTCAGAATTTAATGTCAGAATGTATTGCAACGAACGCCATGGGAAACTGGAACTAGGCTGCCCGCATGAGGTTCGTCGGTGGAACGTCGGTGGTGGTGTGGGGGTTTAATGTGGGGGTTGGGTGTAACGACATGTCATGACAAAATAATTTTTTTTTTTACATTTGCCCTTAATTTTGTTTAGTTTATGTTTTTTCAACTCTCTGAGTTTTCCCCCCCAAAAAACAAAAGATAAATGATTTAGGTATGATTGGATGAAGTCTCAGGGGCCCAGGCGGGGGTACTCCAGGTTTCAAGTTTGAAGGGATGATCGAATGGGGACAAAATCAAATCCGAAAAAATCCCTCGGCCAAAATATAACCCCCTAAAAATCCCATGCCGAATGCCAGATTCGTGAAATTTCTTTTCAGGAAGACTAGCGAACGTCTGTAGTATAGCCCAGTTTTTAAAAGTTTCAGGCGAGAAGTTCCGGTAAATAACTTGTTTTACTGCATACACCAAGAAGATTTTCCACTACAGAAACTACTGAGTTTTAGCCTGCGTAGCAGGCGCTAGGAAATAAACTGAGTTTACGCAACAAGACGGCAGGCGGAAGAGGACGGCAAAACGCTTGTGCGTGACGAACGTGACAAAGCTATTACTGGCGTGTTTTGACGTTATCTTCGCTTAACATTTTATGTTTTCTCTACAAAGAGATCTGTTTAAAGGAAAGTGAAGTTTGGCGAAAAGTTACTTCATACAACATTATTGTCATTATTTACCACGTCATATTATGTAATTTCCGGTCATTATTTTACTTCATATTTTTTTTTTGTGTAAATTCGTGATATCTCAATAAACCTGATGAAGACTGGTATTGGCCAGTCGAAATATCGCAGCTTAACTCTATTTCACGTTCTTTGATCAGTCCCTGCCAAAGTATTCTTCACTGTAACGTTTTCAATTTTATATATTTTGACTGATCACGATCTTTTTGGATCCGACGTTGAGCAAGATTGTTCGTACACGGTTTTTGCAGTAGTTTTTTTTTAACTAAACTAAACACATTATTGCCACGCTTGCGTAATTGTCACACAAGGTTTGCCGCCTTCTTTCCTCTTCGGTCCTGTTGCGCAAGGGGAATTGGTTAAAGCTTTCGGTGCAACGAGTTCTGGGATCGTTTGGGTGGACAAGCGCAAGTAGTTATGATTGGTCGATGGTATTCAAGGCAACCCAATCATAGAAAACGCTTGTCCACCCAAACCATCCCAAAAATCCTTGCGTGGAAAGCTTGTACCCATTTACTTTTACAGTTTTTGGAGTGGGGAAATGTTTTGTGTCTCTGCCACGGAGAGAGAAACTCTGATCACTTGCAAAGGTAAACAAAACTCCATACTAATGGCTACTTTTTAGCCATCAAAGAAATTTACGAAGGCAAAGTTCGGAGTTACCTTCAAAAAGACAATTAAATTTTCGACTGCTTAGGTTGTTCACGCTACTGTGAAGATCGTGTTCACCTTCATATATCTTTACCCGCAGTTCAAAATATGATTAATTTCACACTACTACTACATGAGAAATTTCTGAAATTTGATTGGCTTAGAACAGTGGTATTTCAGCTTAATTTGAAATACCTACATGTGAAAATTACAAATCTCTTCTGGGTAGTAGTGTAAACAAATAATAGCATGATTAGTACGTCCTATTTGGCATAAATACCATACTTCAAAATTGTCTCAAATTACGTATAACAATTTTGAAAGATCACTCGTGTTACTTATGCCCAATATCATTACAAATAATGCCGTTACCTAAACTTATTTCAGTCATGTCATTTCCACCATCAGGTATGTTACGCTATAGCCTGCTCTCCAGTTGGCTTGATTAGCTCAGTGGATAGAGCGTTGCGTCCAGTCATCGCAAAGGTAAGGGTTCCATTTCCGGTCAAGCCTGAATTTGTTCAGGTTGTTTTTTTCAACCGCTTAGGCTGTTCACTCTACTGCGAATATCACGTTCACCTTCAGAAATCTTCATCCGCAGTTCAAAAAATGATTCATTTCATAATATTTCAATCCAGGAATTAATTCACACATGTGCATACCAAACCCATTCTTAATTGGAGAGGATCTGATTGGAAACGAAAGTCAATGAGTTTTTACTGAATTATTTCGACTATTTCTTCTGACAGCCATGGGGGTGGAAAAACCATAACAACTACTGATAAACGACATGATTTATTTGTGCAACCACCTTCCAATTTAATACAGCAATTCAAAAGTCTACTTTTCTTTACATCATTTACATTCTCTACATGACCGCTTACATTTTACAAGGCGGTCCTTGTCGTTATTACACAATAAAATACAAAAAACCTACCCTTAGCATGATTACACCGCGATATCAGTATTATAATGACGAGCTCCGAAAAATGAGCTCATAACAATTAAAATTACACTAAAACCTAAAACGGCAATAACTTCGACATGTGCTTTGATTATAACATAATATCCTTACAATATTATAACTTTTATAAATTTTTTACTCGCATTTGGTTTTGAGAATACATATGAACAGTGGTAGGAGATTTTAACCGAAGCAAAACTGCCATGTCCGGTATATATTTAGAAGTACAAGTGCTCTTGCCGTGGCGTGAAAGTCGACTATCACTTAAAAGACCCGAGATCAAAGATCGTCATACAGAATGAGCTAATTTGACAAAAACGAAGTTAGCTGACGAAATACGATTTTTAATCGAATTTTTCCGAGTTCAATCGGGTTGAATCTTTGACGAGGGTGCTCATCGTCGGATTTCTGAAACAAGACGGCTGCCAAATATTGCAATAGAGACTTGTACTCCTGGTTATAGTTTATAACAAGTTAATATTACGTTTTGTTCAGGGTCTCTCTATACAGAACGTCAGTTAAAAAGCAATATAATGTATTTGCTGATGGCCATTTACAAATGTACAAAATGTACAGGAATTTTGTTACAGACAGGCCAAAGGTGTACATATACTTGAGTTGAAAATCATCACTTTACATAGCTTAAATTTCTTATATGTATAGAACCTTCGATCATTCAGGTAGTTTCACTATGTCACAACATACGTACAAAACCTAGAAACTTGGGCGCTTATTACACATGATTAAACTATTTAACAATACTTATCAAGGGCAGAACTTGTAATTTGTCGGGGAGATTTAAAAATATTATGACATTGTAGATATAAGCACGCCCATTAATTAAACACTAGTTCACAAGCTTAATCTTTCCCTGCAGTATATTCATGGCACTTTTGCTTCACTTGTGGCTATCATAATATGACGCAGGAACCTTCCAGTTTATTAAATTGGTCCTAAATATACTCATAATAGCATAGCTTTAAATTAAGAGTCAATAATTTAACTGTCAGAAAAACTCGCGGAAAACAAGGAGTTGGGAAACAAAAATTTACTTTTCACGTTACAACAGAACTTAATCTGCTCACACCCTTCCCCCCCCCCCAAAAAAATCAATAAATAACAACAAAATAACAAAAAAAACCACTTCCAGCTCTACAGGAACACGAAGCAATTAACGTAAAGCCAAAGGGGGAGAAACAAAAAGAAATTAAGAGGATTAAAACGGATTAAGTTCAGTCAAATCTAAAATATAGAATCAATTCATTTCATGTTTATCTTGAATTGCATGAAAGTACTCGGCATCATTTTTGTCGTTTTCATAGTCGTAACTTCGTTAACGAGACTGACTTCGAGTTTGGAGCTCGTACTAAACGACCTACACCCTTTTAAGTTATTTTAACTTGCTTTTGATCAATTATCTGCCAGCTACAAGAACTCCCTTCTGGTGACATTCAAATGAAAACCGCTACAATAATAAGCAACTTTGTTAATAATAGACTGATAAGAGTTTGCAGTTCGCTAAAAATTAAAAGTGATAATAAACAAGAAGAACAAATTATTTTACTGGGCAATGTTTATCCAAACTGCTTTATGTGATGTGCTGAATTTGGTATGGATGGAAAATTTTCTAATTTCAAATTAGCTGCACCAACAAAGAATCCACTTCCCCTCGATTTTCAATTTCAACAATTATTGTTGTTCCCTATGTCTTAAGACAGTTTCCGGCCAGTTACGCGAATATTTAACAACTGAGCTACTAAGAAACAAAAACACGATGAGAGACAGTTTGGTTGAGCATGCCCGTACAATAAGAAGTTCAGAGTCTCCTGAAAGTAATGAAGTCAACGTTCTTAGACTTAATTCAGTATGAAAACAATTTACAATAGGATAATAGTTTTAAGTTAGATTCCTGCATGTATGGTACAATTGTACATTAATTAATATAAACAATTTCAATTTTCTTGAAGGCTCTTGTTTCATAATAAAGCATCCACTGTATTAATATTACAACGATATTAAATTGATTAACATGTCCTAAAAACCCATATAGGATCATAAGAAAAATGGATAAATGGCTTGGCTTATTTTTATAATACGCTTGATCATGACTATAATATTCTGCAGATTGTTTACACTTTGTTCACTTTGAGTATGTGCAACAGATCTATCAAAAATTTCTACCTCTAATTAAGAACGACACTGGTAGAACTACTGTAGAAGTAAGACCTCCACTGCTTAAAACATACAACTCACAATAACTTAGTAAACAATAACAATATTGAAGAAAATGATTTGAATAGCAAACAATGGTACGAACAGTTACCTATATAGGAATCGTAAAAGATCACTGAAAAATAAAATTAGGAGATAGATTTACTTCTATCAGGGCTAGATCAATAAAACGTTTTGCTGGTTGACTCATGATGCTGCTTTGTTTTGAGATATTCAAAGAAAAATTCGTGAAAATGGAAACTAGAGTAGAGTAAACATGCAAACGCAACAGTCTCAGAAAGCAAGGATATTTTATGCCACACAGAACAACCCTCCAAGTTAAAGTTTTTGCTTGGTCACCATTTGGCAACCAACTGTTTTGGTTTAGGGGGACTTTTTCAAAGATCAAGTCGCCAGCCCCAAAATTTTAGGCGCCATGGCGACCAAAATGGTTCAACCAATAGGTTCAACCCTTTGATCCTAGAAACTAGTATTCATAGGAGGGCATAAAGTCCTAACTGCTTAAACTGTGGATGTACTCCTGTGATGTGACCATTCAACCAAAAACCTCTTTGGCAGCTTATTACAAGGTACATTTTGATTTTCCATATTTTACAAAATGAAATCTGGGATTTTCTCTAATTTTGATGTGAATGAAAGGTAACTAACTGGGGTCTAGACGAGCTGCAACATTTACATTTTTAAGTCACCAATAATGTTATGCCATTTCAGAAAGATAAATTACAATGAAAAAAAAGGATAGTTGACCTAGCCCTTTTACTGATATTATAACCCTATCCTCCCTAGCTTTTACTTCCTACTGCACATTTTAAAATACATTTCATCAATAATATTTATTAGAGTTGGCATGCCTAAGAACTTTGATTGCCTTAAAAATGAAAGCACCACTGAGGTAGGAGATGAAAGTTAACAATATGAATGGTGATCAAGAATTAAAATAGTTTGGTACTATTAACATCAAGGATGCAAGGCATGTGTTCAAAGGGAACCCACCATAATTCAAAATGGATCAAAACAGATTTAACAAATAACTTAATAATAACTTAAAATCAAAAACAGTTAAGGTTTCAAGTCGAGCACAGGATTATAAATCGTAATAATTAAATTTTAAATCAACTGAACCCTTTAAAAGATTATGATGAAATATAGTATTATGATCTTGCAGACATGCATTCACAAAGCAATGCACCAGTCAAGGAAAAGAACTCTTTCAAAACTAAATTATGTATTGAAACAGCTGCCCACAAGCTTCACAAACCAAAAATTACTTCCCAAAGGTTTTAACTTGGGATTACTCAAGTTAATCCACTTAAGATCTTACCAAAAGACCGGACAGGACAGCTACTACAGTAAAGGGCCATTTGTAAGAGGTAGAAACTCAGGTGTTGGTTTCATAGTCATATAATACTTCTCTAACTTGGCCAGAATGTGTTTGCCATAAGTGTACTTGCGGAGTGTTGGCACATGTGGTCTAATCCTGTGCATCAGTAATTTTCGCTGAGGAGGTTCTGCCACATCAATCATCTTCTGGATGACGTAATTAGCAAACTGATCTTTCATCATGGTGTATAAGGCACTGCTCAGGAGATACAAAAGAGAAACGTAAGTAACCATTTGTGCCTTCAGGGCTCGAAATTAAAAAAAATGTCTGGTCGCAAATTTGCGACTAGTTACGAAAATTTGGTCGCAACTTTGAAAATGTTAGTCGCGAAATTAATTGAGGCCATTTAATCAAGAAATAAGTAGGCTTTTAAATGATTAACGCTTTAATTTTCATTCTTTCAACAGCTTTCATGTCATTTCGAGACTTAATAGTACAGAACGTTTAGCATCTCGGACAACACCAGTTCATCTAAACGATCAAGTTGAACCTGCGTTAAGGCACATAAATTAGTGTCTGTTATTTTAGTCAAAGCGATAGATTTCCAAATCATGAACAGATATTACAGCAGGAAACTGCAGTTCTTAAATGCCTCCAATCTCTGCAAAATAGCAATAACATTTGTACTGGGCGGACATCCGACATGGTTATAGGTTACGTTACGTAACTAAATTCCTTTAGTTTTACCTTTTGCAGGTTTTCCACCGATGACAAAACAAGTAACGAATTCTTTTATATATTAAGCTTTACATCTGAAGTATCAGGGGTGTTACTACAGTGATTATTCAAAGAACCCTGAAGGACTGAATCGACGATACGTGCCATGCGGACATTCCGCCATCTTTGTTTGCTAAACCTCGTTTTCATGTATACGTAGATTCGCAACCCACTTGGAACCGATTTATTTTACATGTAAATCTTTTTTTTTAAACTAACCGTTACTGTCAAACGAAGAAACAATGAAGCCTTAAGTACTCATTTTTTACCAACGAAAGTTATTGACTCCAGTTTTTCTGCTTGTTTCGGTTCCTTCGATCTTGCTCAGTGACTAACGACTGTCAGCGGCAAATCAAAACGAAATATGAGCCTGCAATGTACATGTTTACAGAACCCGCTGAGAATGGCGTGCTGTTGAAGGAATATCGTTGCGTGTATGCATTCCAGGTAAATTACGGTAAACCTTCAGATTGTAACAAAATTATAAGACGCTACTTCAATGAATCTTTTTATTTCTAAATTTATTTAAGCAAAAATTCAAGTGCTAGTCCTTTTATTTCGTATCAGTTAAGGCAAAACCTAGTCGCAAATTTGCGACTACTCTCGTTTTTCTAGTCGCAAATAGGAAAAAGTAAGTCGCAAATGCGACCGTATGGGTCGCAATTTCGAGCCCTGGCCTTCGTCCACTTAACTTCTTCACTCCTTAAATGAAAGATGGTCTTGTAAGGTAGTTTTAATTTTTGAATCTGTGGACAAAATCCTATCAAGTAACCATTAACTTGAAACTTCTTTATAGTACTTTAACACTCTACTATTTTTTTTTCCATCACTTAACAGAAAATCTGCAATTTCTGTTGAATTTTGAAAGGGTTAATACTTAACGTGCTTCTTTGACATGAGGTCTGCATAATACAGGGTTCAAAAGTACAGAAAATACAAAAGCACACGTTTTATGGCCACATGTGGCAACAACTTTTGGAGGCTGCCAAAAACTAAACTAACAATGCTGTGTGAAGAAAATGCTATCAAAGTTATGCAATAAAAAGAAAAAACGCTGACAAATAAATAAATAAATCAAATGGACTATAGATCTTGGTTAGTTCTTACCTATCACTGCTGCTGCAAACTTCATCAATGAGCATAGCTCGTTCAGCACGTGAGGCATGAGTCACACATTTTTCCACAACATTACTGAAAGGAAAAGTACAGATTAATACTAATGGGTCTTCCACAGAGGAGCCAGATGACTGCAATGTTGATAAGCTGTTACAAGATGGTCCAACCACAGTATCTTGCCTATGATGATTATACACATATATGACTACTTGACATAGCACAGGCACTGCGTTTTTCAAAAATCACCGCAGAACCCCCACATAAAGTGCTGAGGTGCTGTGCTGTGAAAGGAAAAGAATGTATTCAAAAGCTGCACTGTAGTCTATTTCTCTTGCTATGACAAAATAACAGATCGGCTATTTATCACATATCGAAACCTTCGAGTTTCACAGTCTAAAAGGTCTGCAAGGGGATAGATCACCACTGTTTGAATGGACCATCTTGCTGACAGGAAAGCATTTCTTGAAAATGGCTAACAACAATTTTCTACATTTCTTTATTTGCTAGGAAATATTACCTTGCAAATTTATGCTGGCTAAAAATTAGTATGTTTCCTCTAAGCTCATGAACAATCTTGCTCTTGTCCTCTTGTGTGCCATGCTCCAGCACATGCTGAATCACATAGTTGCCATATTGATCTTGTACTAGTCTCTCGGTATGCTGATGTAATTCATCCAGGATAGGACTTGTTTGCTCTGGCATACAGTGTTCAAGGATCCGCTGAATCACACGGCAGCCATAAGGATGAGTTGAGAGGGCATAGACCTGAAAACACAAGATCAAGATCTACTTTACAAGTTACACATAAAATCGTAACAGAATGAGTAATACTTTATTAACCCTTTAAGCCCCAATATCCACATACAAATTCTCCAAACTGATCTCCTTTCATTTCCTTACAGAATGAGTTGAGAGAATTTGATAAAAGATCAAAGCATTTTCCCTTTGGTGATCATTTTATTTATTCTCATAATCTAACCTCTTGACAATGTATGGGTATCGTTAGGAGAAAATTGATTTTGGTCACTGTTGGGACTTGAAGGGTTAATACCGTTCTGTGACTGGGTGTTGAGGGTTGAAATCATTATATCACAATACAGTCAAACCCCCTGTAAGCGACCACCCAAAATCCAAAGATATTGGTTGCTTACTAAACCTGAACCACAGGAAGTCGAGAATAAGTCCTGACATGTTTACTTTTTAGCAGACAACGTTTTGCATGCAATTTTTCAGATACGTATACATGTAGTTTCATGTTGTTACTAAAAGTTCGTTGTAATACTCTGAGTGGTATAATAGATAGAGTGAACAAAGAGATTACACCATGCACCAAGTAGCTGTTTACAAGAGGTTAAAAACAATGCAATACTATAAAACTGTCAAGCCAACAAGTAGCTGCCGTTGCTTAGAGAAGTGTTCGTTTATGGGAAATTTCTATTAGAGGGCTTTGACTGGGAAAATTTTGGTGTTTTTGATAAGTGGTCGTTTATGGGAGGTGCTCACTTACGAGAGATGGCTATACATAGAGGATTTATGAGTTATTATAGCTGCTAATGTTGTCGTAGTTGCAGTGATTTTGGTAAATTTCACAGTAAACTATACTTTGCTGGCCATTACCTGTGCTTGAAATGCTCCAATAATAAACTGAAGTGACGATGGGTCTACACATTCAATGCATTTTTGTACAACATGATTTCCATTTTGATCCTTGACACACTTCAGCACATGTCCATCCAGCTCCCTCACCAGGTCATTCTAAAATTAAACGAAAACAAGTACAATGACCCCTCTGTTTCAAAACAAACACAGTTACTGAAGAAAGAACATAATAGCAGAGTTGTCCACACTAAGGTTCTTAAATGTTATCCTTCTAGCCTTAGGGCAAAAAAATGAACAACCTGTCTGGCAGCACTTTCATTTAACCCTTTAATTTATGCCCCAATATCTACGATTTATTTAATAAATCAGCATTCTGGAGTCATTTACAATTTTTACTTCTTCGGCCATCATTGATCACATTATCTTATACCACTTTCTGCCAAATGATTGGGTATGACTTGCAATTGCATCTGAGGTACAAAAATAGCATTTGAAATAAAGAAATGGAAATAAAATATTGTTCGTGCACAAAAATGTTTTTCCATTACCCGTGAGTTTTACAGGTTCTTACACCGAGGATGAGCCAAATTTGCCTAGGCAAAATAATCTCATTCTACTGAAAAAAGTTGTCTGGCATGCTCAAGGTTGTGAATTTCAAGGACTTTTCTAAGACCTAATGAAGAAATCAAGTACTTTTAAACCGAATTTAAGGACTTTTCATGACGACTAGTAAAATTCAAGACCTTTTCAAGATTGTACGAACCGCAGTTCTCTAGATTGATCTCCATTAAGCCCCAAATCACCAGACTGACGTCCGTACAAGGATATTCATTAAAAAAAAAAACTAACTCAGTGATCGAATGATAAAACAATTATTGAACTCGGTTATTGCAAAATATCGTGATTTGCCAGTGTCCCGCAGATCAATAAATTATTTGATCTGCTCACCACAGACAAATCACGATATTTTGCTCAACCTCGTCCTATAATTGTTTATTATTCTCTTCATAGTGTTTACGACTGTTAGGAGAAAATTTCTTTGATCACTCTTGGACAATGAAACAAGTTATTTCTTACCTGAACGTCAGGGGAAATACACTCCAGTGCCTTCTGTATCACACGACATCCATACATTTGCAAGGCAAGTGGTAACACATGACCATGGATGCAGTTGGCAAGAAGATGCTTCTGCTCAGGACTACCAAACTCAAAGAACTTCTGTATCACATAATTTCCAAATACATCTGTCATCAAGCTGTAAGCAGCTGGGAGGATTTCGTGAAAGACCATCTGCTTTTCATTAGGAGAGGCCCGCTCAAGCTTCTGCTGAATAAACCTCGAGCCATGTTGATCTTGAGAGAACTCTACAATGTGATTGGCCAGGTCACGCAACTGAATGTTAGGGTAACGGTTATTGCGGAAGTCTTCCAACAGCCTGCTTCTACCAGTTTCTTTGCCCCTGGAACCTCTTAAGCTACTTCCACCTAAAGCAGATGCACCAAACTGCATCCCACTGAAGCCGCCTAGAGACCCCTGGTACTTGGTAGACTCCCGAGGAGCAGCAGCAAGCTGCATGTAGCGCGAGAGACCATTTGAGATAGGACTGCCTACAGTGAATCCTGACTGCCCTCCGTAACCAGACTGACTGCCAAAGGGAGATTGCCCTTGTGAGAGAAGAGGAGGGGTTGGAAGTTCTTGCGGGGCATTGTAAGAGGGCTGTGCTGAGATAGATAAACTGGCAAGGCTGCTCATTCCACTGGGGGTTGCATAGTATTGTGCAATACCTGCTCTCTTACCATAGTCTGTAGCATTCATTGATTCTCGTCTTGTCGCTCCTCCCCCAGGGATGGTCCCCACAGCGCCAACACCAGAAGATCCTCCTACAACATTACCAAGCATTCCTAAGGCACTACTATTTAACTGTGGCTGCTGCTGAGTTTGCTGTCCAAACAAGCCTATGCTGGAAGCCCCACCCATTGAGCTGGCACTTCCCATTCTACCTGCAGCCACCGAGCTAGCACCAGCATTCTGAGCATTCACCACAACTGGAGAAACCATCCTCAGTGTGCCCATCTGCCCTGCAGCCATCTGTGCTGTGGCCATGTTGTTCACATTCTGTGCATTACCCAGCACCAAGTTTCCAGACTGATCGTAGTATGCAGTTGTTCCTAATCCTAATGGTGCTGCACCAGGTGGTGCAATCAGCTGATAGTTTGTACCGGGAGAAGCTGCAGCCGCCATGGAATGCTGCTGGTGTGACGGGGGTGTTCCAATAATTTCCATCTGCCCCTGCATTGGACGCCCTGCCATGCCACCAGAGTTGGATCGCAGAAGTTGTGCATGTTGAGCCTGTTGTTGTTGCTGCTGCTGTTGCTGCTGCTGCTGAAGATACCCTCCACTACTTGTTGCACCTGTTGTGGAATACATTCCCCATGGCTGGACACTGTACGCCGCATACTGATGAGGATGGACCACTTGAGGGGCACCCCCACTTACAGCAGCTAGAGATGGATTGCCATATGGATCCTGCGTGGGCTGGGCTGTTATGAAATAAGGATTTGGATGACCAAGACCAGTAGATTGCAGACTGGATTGCAATCCCAGCTGTTGTTGTTGCTGCTGCTGTTGCTGTTGGGCAGCCATTGCCAGTGCAATCTGATGCTGTTGAGACATCTGGAGTGATTGGTTTTGCTGCGATGTAATGACATTGTTTGGCAGAGATGCCCCTGTCACCATTACAAAGTCCGATGGACTGGTAGGAGTGCCAACAGCCGGCTCCCTCTGCTGCGCAAATGGAAGCTGTTCTAGATGCACACTCTCAAGAGGATCTATCAATGCCACAGGAGGCGCAATATCTTCAATAGAATCTGGCTGTTTGTAGATCTTAGGCTTAATCTGCCCCATGGGTGGCTGAGTTGTGTGGACAGTTTGGGTGGCCTGCTGAGCATCCTGTTGCTGTGAACTTGTAGTAGGAGAGGGCTGTCTACTGCCTGGAGTTCGGCTGAAGAAACAACAGACAAAATACGTAAATCTAATGAACGAGAAGACAACCAAACAAAAACAAACTTACTACATTTCAGGAACTAAAAAATGGTTTGCACAAGTCCCACATTACCAACTAAGAAAAATGTTTCTCACTGTGGGTTATTTGTTATGTTGGAGTTTACGATGAGAAGATTTCGATTGAAATGACTAGGGCAGAAAATAATGTCTTTAATATCAGGCTTTTCCTTTTATTTGGGTTAAACAAACCTGGTTCAACTTTTGGCTTGTCTTATCTTTCAAACAAAAAAATGAAGCATGATCTTTTTAAGGTACACTGCTCTGTGTGTTTATTATGCTGTTCAATGTGGTTCTACCTTTTCAAAGCATAAACAGAACCCTATGCTGAAACTATGAAAATGGAAACAACTAAGTGAAAATGTTCCAGTGGCTCTGTTTTATCAGTTTTTACAGACACTGAGATCAGAGATTTTTCTTGCAAAATTTATTTTGTGGTGGCTTAGACTCTCCATACAACATTACACAGAAAGTCAACGAAACCTCACATCTAATTTGCAACAAGAAACAGCATAAAGCATACACAATGTTATTCAAAATAAAATTAATGTAATTAAATGTTCAACTTTCCAAGAAAGCAATAATTCTAAAAACTCTAGGAACAAGCTATCGACAACAGCTTCACCTTGTTTTTTTGATAAAATCAAAATCAAACATGGACCATTGAAATTAGGTAAGGTGGAATTGACAACCAAATGTAAACATGGCCAGTTAAGCTGAAATCACTTGAAAGCATTTTAGATGCATCAGAAACAAAACATTAACATTTTGATGATGATCCTATTTGGAACAATTTATACTTAAAGAAAGTGAAACTGATAACAAAATGAACAGGTAAGAGGGCATACCTTGCAACTCTGAACATGCAAATATCATGGATGCATAACAGTTGTCAATATTAAGCCCACAGAAAATTCGAGGCTAATAAATACTTCCTTGCTTTGCAAAACAAAATACCTAGCTAACAATCAGAGTCAAACTAAATATTTGCTATGAAAAGGGAAATTGGTCAGTTTCTTTGATTCCTACAAAGAAAAGATGGCAAAATGCAGTCCCAATTCAGACAAAACTCATGAATAAGTCATACTCCTAATAAAATATTCACATCTGAAAGATGCATAAATTAAGAGCTTTTTGTTTAGCAAGGTCAAGGTCTTGCTTTGAATGAAATATATATTGTACTGTTAAGTAACACACTAAGTGAACACACTGCACATTATAGCAGTGACTAAAAGAACATTGACTTGCTTGAAAGGACTTAACATCAGAATAAAATATATATCTTTCATAGCATGTGATCTGCTTTTTTGATGACACCTGCCTCAACTCAAACCGTGAGAAATTATATTGTAAAATGCACACCACAAATTGGTTGAATTATCAATTCAGGGACCTACTTACTGCTCAGTCAACTGTTGAAAGAAAGAACTGACAAATTGTAACATGAAAATCACCACCTATGAAGTGCCATGAAAAATCTATTTTATAAGAAAATGACTGGCTCTCTATGACCCCTCAATGCACTTTAGGCAGACCCAAAGGTCTAACTATTTGAAATTTAAAGCCTTATTGAATCACAGTTTTTTCCAAAATCAAGGAAATCAAATAAGGAACACACTTTATCAAACAAAATTAATATCATTTATCAGTCTTATAATTCATCATTATTATTACTGTCAATGATAAAGACACCTTATATAAACATTTTGTTTATCCTTCTAATAAGTTGGATATCAAAAAAGTGCAACAAAGAGCATTGTGAATTGCTCTCGTTCAAAAACCACGCATGATGTCATACAAAGAACAATGTAAATTGCTAAACTGGAACACACTTGTATTAAAGAGAATACCCAGCTGTAGTGGAATGCTACAAGACAGCATTATGGTCTAGACTTTAATGACTACTTTGAGCCAACTTTCTATACAAGATGCAAACGAAATCAGCTTAAGTTAACTCCCTTACGTACTCCTTCCCGGAACAATCTACTAAACCACCTCTCTACAGATGAAATTCATGTTTTAACAAATTAAAAGAAGGCTTAAAAAGGTGGATGAAAATTTATTGACATAATAGCTCATATTTTAATTGTACATATTTTCACTTTAGATGTCATTCATAATATACCATTTTGCACCTACAATAAGGATTTTCAATGTATTTTTTTTTATTTTAAAAGTTCAGTAAGGGAACCTTTTACAGACATAACCTTTTCAAAAGCCACCATAGCCAAACAGGGCCACTGGTCATTTTAGAAGGGTAGAGTTGTGGTGTTGCCAAGGGTACAGCTTTTACTTTTCTAACATATCTGTTACAGCAAATCAATTCATTCCATGACTTTTTTCATGACCTTTCCAAGTTTTCCATGACCATAGGTTTAGCTAATATGTTAAAAATTTCCAAACATTTTCCTTGTTTTAAGGGTATTTTTTGACCTAACTCAGTAATGACATCTACAGTGACTAATCTAACAGACTAAACTTCCCATAACTTTCAAGGACCGACAATTAAATTCCATTACTTTCCAGGCCTGAAAAATGAAATTCTTCAATTTCATGACACTCCAGGTTTTCCATGACCTGTATGAACCCTGCTTTAGAACTCTATCTATAAACCTTTACGCAAAATAGCTATCAGTGATCAACAAAAGTACTGTTGATAAGAGGTTACATTTAGCTGTTTATTGTATGGTTATGAGCTCCTCGCAGTAAAATAAACTATGTCTATCTCAGTGCCTCGTTATACTGATGGCTTTGCTGTATAGAGGGTCGTTTAATTAAGGTCCACTATAACAAAAACTGTTCATTGTATGGTTTATCTCCCCAGTAATGGTCACATAGTGACTCTGGGAAGCACAAGGAATATACAAAGTACCACACTAAACCAGTGCTCACAAAGTAAGACACTGGAGGCAGTTTTGATCTCCAACGACATGGCAAGGAACAGACATCATGGGTGATGTGTCTCTGAGGACACTCAGCTCCTCAGCCACTAAGACAGAGCCGGTGAGGGCCAACCCACTGGGTGTCACGTTGGACAGTAATACTAAAAAAAATATTCATTTTCCTATGGGTTCGTAAAAAAAAAAAACAACCCCAAAAAACCACAACAAGAACAAAAAACTGAAACAACAGGGGGGTGTTACCATTACCTGAAAGTTGCAGCAGCCTTGTCATCTTCTACAGTTTGCTTAGGGACAGGTTTCGGAGATTCATGTCCTTGCTCATCTTGAAGAGCTTTCTTTATCTCCTCACCAGTATCCTCCTCAAATGGCGAGCCTCCTTTGCTTCCCTTGCCTTCATTTTTAGCTTTGGGTCCCTTAACAGATAAAACATCAGTAGTTGGGGATGTACCCTGTGCAACAAAGTGGCAAGGTACAGATAGAAGGGGTAGCTTAATGATAATAAAAATAATAATAACAATAATAATAACGACTACAACAACAACAATGATAATAATAATAATAATAATAATGACGATAATCACAACAAAACCCTTGCTGGTGTCAAGATGGATTCTGTGAAAAGTGCTGGACACTTAATTATATTAAGGACAGAACAAATGGTACGGAGTATCCTAAAAAAAAAAAACGGTCAGTGTGTGTGGCCTCATACTATGCAACATTTCATACATTATGTAGTGACAGGCCAAAAAAAATTATGATAGTAATTATCATCATCATCATCATAAAAAGAAACAAAAACAAAACTTACAAATCCTGCTTTGATAATCTGTGCATCCAGTTCCTGTCCACCTGGTGAAGAAGCTAAGACATACTCAACCATACTGAGTCCAACACCATCTGCTGATCTTGGAGAAAGGACACTTTGTGACTCAGAACCAGTGTTAAAGTTACCTCCTTTAGCTGGCCTTTGTACCATGATGGGCTGAGACACAGCGTGTTCTGACTGTGCCATGTGTGGCACTGATGGGCCCCATGCAGTTTCTCTCCACTGCTCCCCAAAAAAGATCCCAGTAGTCATTCCTCCCTGGTTCTCTTCCCCAGAGTCCTGAACATCCCAAAGCTTCTTAGCAGTAGAAGCAATCTATGGAAATTAAGACAATACTTTGTAATGAGATACATGCAAATTAAAGTTTAACAGCAGAATACTGAGAACTATCTACTAGATACTCCTATGTATACAAATCACAAGAGAGATTCACTGAAAAACAAAAACATGTAGATGGTAAAAATCTGGTATTCAGAAACTCTAGAAACTCTCAAATTTTACCGATACTGCAGAGACAAAATCTTTCGTATACCAAACAGAGGTTCATTATATCGAGGTTTACTATAACAAAAACTGTTCATTGTATGGTTTATCTCCCCAGTAATGGTCACATAGTGACTCTGGGAAGCACAAGGAATATACAAAGCACCAAACCAAACCAGTGCTCACAAGGTAAGACACTGGGGGCAGTTTTGATCTCCAACGACATGGCAAGGAACAGACATCATGGGTGATGTGTCTCCAAGGACACTCAGCTCCTTATAGCCACTAAGACAGAGCCAGTGAGGGCCAACCCACTGGGTGTCACGTTGGAACATTAAAAACTATGTTTTTATGAAGGTACTTTGAGAGGTAGTAAACATCATGTTTTCAAAATATATATGATTTTTAGAATTGAGTTTGTTTCAATCTATTATTTTGTAGATGCCTTTGTAAATACCTCTTCTATCGGTGTGTCAGCTTTCTTTTCATTGTTGTTCAAAGACAAGCTCTGGAACTTGTCATCCAGTTCTCCGTCTTTGTTATTTCCCTGAGAAGGAAAAAACACTTGTCAGCCCGCATTTTGTATGAAATTACAAATGTTCAGATCAGCCAAATTATGTTTGATAACTCGGGAGTAGTTGAAAGTAACAAACGTTTTCAATTATGTTTTACAAGACAGTTTTTTGATCTGCAGAGTTTGTCCTTTTACTCATAATTTCGACTTGATTATGATAAGTCATGTAGCTCAAACCTATAAAATCACTCAAATAGAACCTTTTGAACAGTACTCTAGTATGTTGGCATTATTTGCTTTTCACAATCCCACGGAATGAAATAATGGAAATATTCTTGAAGGTTTACCAATTACACTCAAATAATGCATTGCATGCAAAGTTTTCAGCTACCAGAACTTTTTTGACCCAAGCAACATCGAAAAACATTCACTGTGCAAAGAAAGTCAGTCATGTTGTAGCTAGCATGTACTAGCCCTAAAGCCATTTTAACTAGCCAAACAAATTTTGATAAGCCCGACTGATTACAGTTCTTCTGCATTTGAATATTCCCAAAAAACTTCTCTTGCCTGTTGCACAGGTTAAGATCAGAACTCACTAACTCCACAGTAAAATCCATCAGTCCCGGGCTATTGGCTATTTCTTTGCACACTTTAACAATTATTGATTTTCTAGTATGCTAAGTAAAACTTATCATACATACGAGATAAAATTGTTCACTGTATGGTTTATCTCCCCAGTAATGGTCACATAGTGACTCTGGAAAGCACAAGGAATATACAAAGCACCACACCAAACCAGTGCTCACAAAGTAAGACACTGGGGGCAGTTTTGATCTCCAACGACATGGCAAGGAACAGACATCATGGGTGATGTGTCTCTGAGGACACTCAGCTCCTTACAGCCACTACGACAGAGCCAGTGAGGGCCAACCCACTGGGTGTCACGTTGGACAGTAATGTTATCTTTGCGATAGCTATGTTCTTGAGTAGATTGCTTTTAGCTTTTACATGACACTACTGTTACAGTAGTAAAATGATTACAACTAGCCAGCTCACTGAACCACAACATGCAAGATGTATGATTAAAAAAGGTATTCACTCTTACTAGGAAATTTAAAAGAAAGTTTTTAAGCAACATCTCAATTTTTGGGAAATTTTTCAAGAACTCAGAAGTTCAAGTTTGAAAACCAAGCCAGCTCGTTCAAGCTAAAATTCATCCTGGCTACTGAAGGCTGAACATGTGACCTTATAAACTACTATTATTCATGCAGAGTAGTAGAGTAAGGTGGAAGCTATCGTGAGTGGACACCCTTGGAATGCGGAAAAGGTGTCTGTAACTGAAGCTGGCCATTTACAGAAATGTAAAAATACAGAGTTTCTATGGGAGTTGAAAAAAATGGGGATTTGTGAAGGTGGACATATGTATCGCTGTCCACTTGCAAAAGTGCCCGTTAGGAGAGTTTCCACTGTCTTTTATTCTAAACAAAACCAAATCACCGAAGAGATCTGCAACAGACTTTATGACTAGGGGACCATTTAGCATGAAGACTTCCCACATGTAGCCAGAAACAAACTTTATAAGACTACCTACAACAAGAGTGCTTGAAAGTTACAAATACAAAACTGAAAGCTCCCTAGTGAGCCCTAAATGAAAATTTATTAAAATTAGCACATTTTATGTAGCAAAGAGATGAAACAAAAATAATACGTAACACCATAATGTTAAACTTATGGAAAAGGTTCTTTAGGAATGCTTTTGTCACAGACTCAGAAGGTTAGAGCTAAGCCTAAAATCTCCATAATTGCCTCCAAGTGAAGAGACCAGAGGTGGATATGCTCAAAGATACTTTACAAATGGCTTCAAACTTAGTGAGCAGAAATCATTGAGGAAATTACTACACACACAAAAAAATCATTCAAGCCCTTACTGTAGGAACATTAAAACATGTGGTCTTGCACATTGTATACATGATGTGCTATTGAAAGGCCAAGTACTTGAATTCTTAGCAGCTTTTAAAATGAATTTCTATCTCCATAGTTCAAGGCATAATTTTCCCAATGCCACATTTCCATTCGACAAGGTTAAGTCCAGTTTAACTAGATATTAATTATGTGCTTCACTTGCTGAAGAGTGGATGAGAAATGCAGGCCACAGAAACAGAAAATTCCCAAGGGTATTTCCAGCATTCACTTTCAGTTATAATGCCAAGCTTACTAATATTGCACTCATTAAAGCCAAGATATTCATATTAATTTATTTATCCTTGTATCAAAACACGACTAGATGACTTTCAAAGCTGAAACAAAGGAATGCTTTCATTAAATTAGCTTCTTCCTTTGCACGGCACAACAGCACGACAACAAAGCAAGATGAATAAGAAAACATTTACTCTGCGTGAATACACCAGCATTCGATCTCGAACTCTCTACTAGAATTTCGTTTCACTAGTTAGGCGTCTCAACAAAAAAATTCGTGCATTCATTATCCAATTTGCAAGCAGCTTTTAAACATTTCTGGTCCCGCAATATCAAATTGTGACACGAACAATTTCAGAGATCTACAAGAAAATACGACAGGACGCTGCTTGAGTAAATAAAACGACGCTCATAAACTGACTAATAAATGTTCCAATGCTCCTCGTGATTTGCAACAGAGGCATTCGACTCTTATGTATATATTCACGCTTTATCTTCGTTCAATGAACTTTAGGCACAATAGCTTGCTTTCATCTTCTTCATCATAACTAACAACAAAATACAGTTTCCTGTTGCAAAGCTGGACGCCTTTAGTTAGATTTTATCTGCACTTTTATTCCAGCTTTGCAAGCAAGTCACAACTCAAATGTTGACAAACCCAAGTCTAAGATTCTAAGAATTAAAACTTACTTGTTCCGACATTCCTTCACCTACAGAAGACCATCTTTGGCCCGAAAAATTCCCTTTTTCGTTTTCTGCAACTGTTTTGGAAAAGCTTGTAGCGACGCCTTGGCGCTGGAACAGATAACTTGCGACTTCCCCGTTCGACTTTGTGCCTACTATTTCGAAACCCTGGTTGTTTGTCTTCGATCCCCCATTACTGGTGCGTCCGCCAAGTTTTGGAGGCATACCATTGCTGTGGTACGCTCCATCTTCCCATCCAACTTCGTTCATACCAAGAACACATGGAAAACTCATTGGACGGATCTAAACACAAGAAAAACGTCCCACAGTCAAGAACGAGTACAACGTAATCCTAAGCGTGTGACGAATCGGGGGTGTGACTTGCTGCGTTTGCAAAACTGCGTTGAAGTAGACAACTCAGCCGCGAAAATAATCCCAAAGACATGCACGCAAATTATTTGCGGCCCCGAATACTGCATAATAACATATTTAGGACAAAGGATGGTAGTTGAACTAACCGGATGCAAAAGGCCTAAAAAAGAAAGGCCATTCTTGGCATGGCCGTCGCTGGCTTGTCAGATAAGGCCATTCCCATGAGGCCTCACGAGCATAAAGTATAAACACGTGGTTTGCCTCTGATGCAAAGACAACACGTGCGATAAAACATCTAAAACTTTTGCAAAAGTCAAAATACGCCACAGCAGGAATAATTATTCTTTGAACTTTCTACTAGTCACATTTTAATCCTGAACCGATAGTTCTGAAATTAGATAATAGCTTAATCTTCAAGTAAAGTTTTTGTCAGTTTCCTGTCGCATCTGGTAACATGTGAAATTAATATTTAAAATGCAGTGTTCTTGGTTTTAAATTTTTATCAAAGATGTGTAAAATCTTGGAAAGGGTAACTTAGCGTATTTTAGTTAAATATTTCCATTTTGTTGTGGCCTTCAACCAAGCCGAGGTTTCATCGCGGAAGCCGAGAAAAAATTCATTGCGTCAGTGTTATCGAAGTAAACAATCTTTGGAATGTAGCTCGTTAAAAGTGTTTCACTAATTATCAGAACACTGCAAGAGATCGTACGCACAAAGCAAAGTAAAAAATTAATTGAAAGGGAATTTTTTAAAAAAGAAAATAAAATAAAAACTGAGGGTTATCTTCTCTGAGTTGATTCTCTGACAGTGACATGCATCGTGAATTTCGGCTGTGAATTTTGTTACGCTCGAATCGGCTTTTTATGAACACCCCCTCAATGCCAACACACCGTATCAAAATACTGATTAACTAAAGATTTTCAAACAATCACCAGATCGATCCAACCCAGACTTACGTGATCGAATTTGATTAAGCCACATGATCTTGTCTTCCAAGGCCATTTGCTGGACTGGGGTAGAGATGGAGGCTTTCTTTGAAGTTTACTTGCCATTTCATTTTTTGATTTTTTCCTCACGGATTTCTAAGCCCCCTCTCGATTCTCTCGATGGCAAAAGACAACCGAAGTGAATGACGTGCCTCGCTTTCACGTTGAACCACGTTAGCCTCGTGTTCGTGTTAAGTAAATCGTCTGGTGGCCTGGCAAGCAGCATGCATTGCGTTTTTTGTTAATAACTGCGAGAGGTTCTTTCGCAGAGAAAGAAATGAAATTTCTTTGCTGCAAAGGCTTCTATTTCCTCTGTCTTTTGATATTCTACGGATTTAGCTCAGTATATGCTATAAGCGTGGATGTTGAACAAGATTCAGGTTTGAAAGTGCATTTTACGTTTTAGCGGGGCTCCATGTTATGGCGGGCAGTTACAGCTTCCATATTATTTTTTTAAGTCGGTGTGATCTCATCGTGGGATATTGTTTTGGTTTATGGAACAATGCTTTGCTTATTCAGACGCGGAACAGACTGTCCTGTGCTTACTCACTCGTAGGAGACAGATCAACAAGCTGTGAAAATCGAATGACCTACTTTTGTAGGAATTTTCTTTCGCTTGTTGTTAACTAAGCTTGTTTTTTTTATTGTAATTTCCAATCCCACTTTTTAAATTGTTTAAGCTCATTTCTCTAAGTTTTAAGCTTTTCAGAGAAACTTTTTAAATTCTTCTCCCTTCAAAGCTAATCGAATCTAGTTCTAGCTACATAGCAGAAATATACTATTACAAGTTTGGTCTTCTATGATCTCACATTTGAGGTTCATAAGAGTTTATGTTTCACTAAGTGAAAAGCAGATAATTTTTTATCAGCATTAATAGGTTTTAGTCCCATTGTTTTAATAATATGGTATGAGCAAATTAACACTATACTAGTCTTAACATTAATCTCAAATTGGAGATTCATTAATGCAATTAAAAAAATAAGAAAAGGGAAATAAAAACAACAGATTAATGATAATGACATCTATCCATCATAAAATACAGCTGTAGATGTGAAATAGTAACTTTCACCTCAGTAAAACTTCCAAGTTTGCAATTTTGTTCTGATGTCTCATAATAAGATTCTCTTCGACTAGAAATTGGTCAATGTTCAGATGAGAACAACTGAGGAGAGGTACTCTCCATCTCCAATTTTTGTCTTTTATTATCCTAAATTTTATTTTTACTTATAGTAATTCACCTAATTTCTTTGATCAGAGGGAAAAGAGAGAAGAACAAGCTTGACTTTTTCATAGAAACATACCTGTACGACAGATCACTGTATATATCTTTCACTTTATAGTTCCTATGACTACTCTTGTTATCTAGGTCTATCTAGAGCGCACTTACTCTTTGATCCGATCTTGGTTTGCTGATGGCTGTGGGGAGGGAGATAAAAACCATCTTGTAATGACATCAAGATCTTCCTGTCAGTCATATCCAAGATCCATTGTAAAAGAGATAGCTAGAAGAATGTGGATGAGCTTAAGATTGCATGGTCCAGTTTATAGATGCAATGTCAAGACGTTGGTTTTTACTGAAATATTTACTTCAGGTCAATTGAAGTTTTCTTAAGTTAATTAGTAATTAGAGAAGGTAAACAGTTTGAATTCTTAATCACCTTTAATGATGTACCATTGGCCCATGCTATATTTTGTTTTCAGTTCAATAATTTTAAATCCTTTCCACCTGTTACTTTTGTCTCAGTTTTATACTGATGATTATGCCTTTGTTGGTGAACACAGAAAATAAATCCAGTGTTGTGTTAATAACTTCAAAGTGTTTTATTTAAGCTTTAAATGCTCTGTCATTAGTTTGCAAGAAAAATTAATTAATCCTGATGGGAGATAATTTGAAACCATGCATTGGTACTGGAAAGTATCTTGCTGTTGTTTTCATCTAAATTGTCATGCTTGAATAAGATTTCTTCTTCAGAATCAAATTTTGGATGGCTTCATACAGTGGGTGACATCACTTTAAGGCTTAAGCTTGGCGGTCATAAGCGTCATGTTTCCAATAAAAAATCGAATAAAGAAAAGTGTCAGGCTTTGTAGGAATAGCAAAATCTACAAAATAAACGTGAAGACTTGTTTCACATGTTCATTTAAATTCCTGCTACCTCATGTGTATAATCTGCTGTTTAAAGTGTTTCTTATTGAGGAATTGAAGAGTTATTTTAAATATTTATTATGACAAGTCAAGCCTGCCCAGCCATGTGAAGCATTAAGGCTAGACTGATCTCAAACTCATTATCTCATATGATTTACTGTGATTTTGCTTCTCTTCAATTACATCACGTGCATGGCTTTGATCATTTAAAACTCCATCATTTGTGCTGCTTTGCTGTGTTGTGGAATTGTAACAGTTAAATTTTTCAACATTATTTTGAACTGCTGTATTTTTGAAAAGAGAACTATCATTCACAACTTTTAATTTCAAAGCAAAGCGGTGTATAAGGGATTTTCCACTGAAGTGGAGGTAAATGGTAGTGGATATTATAAGGAGGCATGAAGTTGCGAAGTAATTATCCACCACTTCTACTGACAATGAGGTGAATTTACGGCTCATAATGAATAATATTGTTTTTACTTAATTACACTGTATTACACAACCTGACTAACTAGTAGACCAAAAATTACTTTATTTCAGTCTGTCAGATGTGCAAATGCATATTAATGCTCACAAAGTCAAACCTAACTCAGGTGATACGTGGTGATCAAGGAAAAAAAATGTAGGAAACAAATGACTTCAAACATTCCATGATCTTGATTAATGAAATTCCAGTGCTTTTGGATCCAGCGTTCTGACAACAACGAGCAAAGTGCAATTCAAGTCTTAACTGTTTTTGTTTGTCTTCGGCTTCTCGGAGGTGACTAGTACTATATGGCTACTATGAACTAGTGAATCAGTGTGCACTACACTAAAATTAATGTGCTTTTCACTTGTGTGGTATATGTTAATTTATTGTAAGAACTGGGGACAAAAGATGTCATATTGTCTTTATTATGAAAAGATTAGCCATGGATGGATTCTTGCAGTGATATTTTGTCTTTCCCTGAAACTGCAGTTTGCTGTTCTATGTCTTCTATGGTGTGGTAAATTCTCCTTTCAAATATTTATCTGCAAATTTAAATGCGATGAATGAATAAAAGTAAAATGCAAGCCAGATAATTGATACAAAACTTTGAAGCTTGTCAGTAGTCTCAATCGAGAAAGTTGTCTGAAGAGAGTGTAGCAGTAGCATAATATTCATATTTTTTGTCCTCTTTTTTAGGTTCACTGCTTTGCAGAAAATGTGGTCATGACATCACCACTGCTGTCCATCTTTATAACAAAGCTAGTAAACTTGCTTTGAGACAGAGAAATGACACAATACTTGGAGTGCAGCAGCGTCTTATTCAGCTATTCAAGAACCCCCATGGTACTCTCATTTACGCCATCGTTTTCCTTTACCACCGTCAAATCATAAGCAGTGCCAGATCCAGAGCTTGAGATGGGGGGGGGTCATTCAGACCCAGGGGAGCGGTCTCAAAAAAACTCTTTAACGTCCCTTTGGGCCTCAGTTTGGTCTAAAAATGAGGGGGGGGGGGGCTCTGGGTACTTCCTCTGGATATGCCACTGATAAGTGACCACAAAAAATGCCAAGATTGTGTTCACTTATTAGGAAAGGTTCCAAATTTCTTTGACAAAGGAGATTTCTTTTGGTATTTTAGACACTGTATCAGGACACTTAATATGAGAAGTGGTACCTTACAGTTACAAGAGTGATTGTTGTACTTTGATGAGTTTGGATGTGGTTTAATTCATGGATATTATTTTTGTATTGTGCGTTTTTTATATGTCTCTCATGAAGTAAAAATGTTGTTTAAATTTCAATTTTTTCTGATGATCCTTCTTGTTCTGAATGCCCCTTATCCTTTCACTACTATCAATAATAATGTCTAACTTAGAACAGTGGTTACAAAGCACTGATTTGCATTATTTGATAGCACACTACTCTGATCTGGAGACTCTAAGGCAGGAGAAAGCAGCAAATATTTTGTTAGCCACATGGTTTTCCTGTAAAATGACATCTAATAAGGAACAAGCACAGAAATTCCGTACTGTTGATGTGTCACTACCCAGATAGACTGGGCTAGTATCTTCGATTGGTGAAAGCAAATTTCCCATGCGGCACAACCAAACAGAAGCTCTACCCAGATTTGGGTAGTGATACATCATCCGTATGGAATTTCTGTGCTCATTTGCTCAAACTTCATTTCTCATTAGTGAAAGCAAAGTTTTTTAAATATTGGGAGAGCCACACTTTTGCTCCTGGACTGGGTCGCTGAGGATGAAGCAAATCTGCAAAGAATGATTCATCACTGATATTTTGTTCTCAATGTTTTCAACAGGTCAGCATTTTGAGCTGATAACAGCCACCACTGCAAATATCAAAAGCCATGGTGAGGTAGGCCATAAGCAGTGGAAGGCCTTAGTTTAACCTCTTCTGACTTTTAAATTTACCTGTACACAGTATACTTTTTTAAAACGTCTGCAGTTGTTAAATAGGCTTTGTTATTGTGGTTTGGTTGTAGGCATTTGAAGAGCATTCATGGTTTCCTGGCTATGCTTGGCGCATAGCGGTATGTCCTCGGTGTGGTTCCCATATGGGATGGTAAGCTGACTCACTCTGTGTCCCTTTAGCTTGTGAAATCATTGCTCTCAAACTAGAAAGAGGCATCACCATTCTGTGCCAAAAATTTGTATGCCTTACAGTTTGTTCAATCCTATTGTTTCGCGTTGCCTCTCCTGCAGCCTGTACAAAGTCTTCTCTCAGCAGAAAAAATCTCAGAATCTAACACTGTGAACATTTGGGCACACCTTGCCTATTCTTTTTCCTTACAATCAGTGGCTTCTATTATCAGCTGTTTGCTTGGAACTGAAATGTCCAAAAATTATCTACATCTGCATATCTACTTATAAGCAGAAATATCACTGCATCACATCTGTTTCACTTAAAAACAGCATTGTGATAAATTCTATAAATAGCATTATTATACAGCCTGATTATACAGTATAAAATTAACATTTCTATCTAACAAAATAAATACTTAGTGGGGTAAAAATTAAGTGTTTTGAATTATTTGAGCTTGGAGGCATGAGCTCTAAGGTTTTTATTAAGTAATTTAATAAAGGGTACAATTTCGTTTGGGTATTCAGCAAAGTAACTCTCCCATCTGAAGCAACTATTCTGTGCTACTGTAGGTTAACAAAACACACAGAATGTAAGGAATTGTCGCCGGACAGCGAGCAGTGGTGGGGATGGGGGAGTATAATACAGAAGTGTTGCCACAGAAGCCCTGTAAAGTGTCAAGAAAGTTTAATGCCACCAAGAAATTTGAACTTAGGTGCTAAATTGGTGTTCATTGTGGAAAAAGAAAAATGAAAATAAAGAAGGGCACGTTTTGCATTATACAAGTATAGACTGGAAAATGGAAAGTCTAGATTTAAAGCTTCCTTCTACTTTCAAAACTGTATGATTCATGTTTTTTAACAGATTAATATTTATTTTTGTTACAACTGTTAATGGGCTGTTGCCTTTTGTGTTTAGGTCTTTTGAAGATCCTTATCAAAGTGATCAGCATGGGAATGAAGATAGTCACACACATGAGACCGTAGATGACACTCATTCTAAGAAACCTTATTCTTTTGTTGGACTTATCTACCCAAACCTTATACAAGAATACTGTGAGTAGAAGTGTGAGTTTTTACAAAATATTACCTTTCACATTTAAAAAGAGGCTGCTTTTAAAATTGCCATTCTTTTAATACCGTTATCTACAGTGCACTAAGTAAGGCTGACTGTCCCAGTGTGCGTTGCTGTCAAGAACTACAAGTGCTGTGCATTAGCTTCTCTACAATTTGTGTACTCAGCAGGTTTAGAAGCCGTACTTTCTATTCGTTTTTGAACTAAGCTTTAAGGATTCAGTTCAAGTTCATAGCAAACCTTGCCGGCGTAACAGGCGCTTTATGAGCGAAGCAAGGCAAACGCGGCATTTTGCGCGAAGCGCGAAGTGTGAGACGAGGGGAGAAGAAAAAATAAAGCGCCTGTAACCAGTCCATTCTGGCTCTTCCGCCCACCTACGCGCACAAATATTGACTGACGGCGTTGATGTCAAAAGGACCGATGAAGACGAGTTCCATTATTGGAAAATTGTCACAGGCGCTTTTTTTCCTCCTCTCCTCGTCTCGCGCTTCGCACAAAATGCCGTGTTCGCGTCGCTTGACTCATAAAGCGCCTGTTATGCAGGCTAAAGGAAACCTCGCAATTCCATTGACCTGTAGGTGCGAATGTCATGGCATTTTTCGAAGTGGCATGTAAATCAGTTGGTACAGAATGATGTAGAATCCCTATAAATTACTTTGACTGTCATTGGCTGACTTTTGATCACGTGGCCTGGTGGGTAGTGTTTCAGTTTTCAGTAGGTCTCCTAGTCGTAAGAACGTCAGCGTGGGAGGCAACCATTAGGTTTACTGATCGTTATGTGTTTGTCATTCTGTTTTTCAGATGCAGACTCCTTAATAATAACGCCAAAGGCCTATAGAAGCTAGTCAAGATCGTCCCATTGGTCGTTAACCAAAGACTAAGACATTATTCCTTCGAATTCCTCCAATCACAGAACACGGCAATCAATACAGCGAAGCAATCAGAACAAAGAAGGAAGTTCAAAAGGCGCAACGCGGGAAAACGCCTGCTTTTGATTGGTTGAGAAGAAATAGCGCAAATGTTAAGCCAATCATCAGTATTAATGTCGTTCCAATATTCGTTTCCACCATCATCATCTGATGTTTTTCACGGCCACCTCTCCACAATGGCCACTTTCTTCTGTCCCCAGTGTGGCCGTTGTGCAGTGGTTCAATTGTAGTTGAAAACTGAAGAGGACCGGCTGGAACTGAAATTCGTGGCGAAGTACTTTGTGTTGAAACAACAGAGGGATTTAGAGTCAGGTTGGCGGCAAACGTGAATTTGTACCACGTGACCAAGTTTTCTCTTACTTGTTTTTTACTTTGAATTACTTGTACAAAAAATAGTCGTTTCGTGTGATCAATTTAATTAGGTTTCTGGGAAACTGCTCACCTACCCCTCCCCTAAGCTAACATTAATACTTCTTACTTGGGGCAAAATGTTGGCTTAGGGGAGGGGTAGGTGGGCAGTTTCCTAGAAACCCAAATTGATACGGGCTGACACAAAGAAAAGTGAGCAGGAAAAAAAAAACGACAGCGCAGGGGTTGGTTTCCTCCTCTTCCTTTTTTGGTCTTTCCCCCCGCTACTTCCCGCTTATCTCAACGCCTGCAACAGGTTAGTTTCACGCCAGTTTTATCAATAAGAATTAATTTACACAGTTTGTATCTGCTCATTTTCCAATTTTGAGAATTCTCAACTTGAATCTGATGTTTGCTGTTTGCTGTAAGTGACTCTAAATTTTCTCTATTTGAATTTTCTTTCACGTAATGCAGGGACGGACAGCATGACGGTTTATTGCGAATGAAACTTCGGCTTTGTGTTGGCAGGAATGTACTGAATTCCCTTGTTTTAAAGGAAATGATTAGAAAGTCAGGTCAAGTAGCCACTTTGAAGAGATTATAAAAAGCTTCGTTAGAGAAAACGTTGTTAAATAAGTTCTATAATACAGAAAAAAGGTGTCTGGACAAAAAATTATCTTCAGAATTTCTGTTTATAGATTTTTACATAACTATCCATCGATCTGTTGTTTCCCTCAAGGAAACCGTAGCGACAAATGGGAAATTTGTAACGAAACATTTCCAAAATGTTGATAACTTACTTAAACATTAAGAACTGAGCCTACATACAACAAAATATACTATTATCTCTGTTTGAAAGGAACTAAACAACACGATTTGTAAAAATACCTTACATAAATGTTTGCATTGTGCATGTTACACAGGAAATAAATTTCCTCACGTACAGGACGAACAAGGAAAAACACATCTCCCTTATATTGAAAGTCATTCAAAAGGAACTTTGAAACACCGATCCCATGAAGGCTGACACACTTCATGCATGCTTGACAAAAATTTGGTTTTAAAGTGAGCAAATTAGCCACCGCATACGTAAAAGGATTGTTGTGGTTTGGTCTGTTGCAAATTCAGCAATACCTTATGAAAAGAAAGCAAGGGAATTCACTTTCGTGACGAAGAATGAGATATTTCAACGTAACATTTTGTGAATATTTGCGTTAAATTTGACCATCATTTGATAAGAAAGAGTGCTTTAACTAGAGAACCATTTGCCACCATTGAAAACACTTCTACGCCTCGTTTGTTTTTCCAAACGAACTTTTAGGTACAAGAATCAAGGACACCGTCATCAAGAAACACTTAATACACGGCTTCTGTTACAATGTAAATACTTAATTTACAACAGTTTAACGATAAAAATTTCGTTTTCAGTTACTTTTCGGGTGTTCATGAGGTGTGCGAGCAAAGATTGAAAACATGATTCGGGACGGCCATGGTAGAGAAAAGTTGATCGAATAAATAATAAGAACTGGTGATACTTATCCATGCTGTTATGCTTTCTTCACACACGGTATCCTAACCATTTTAAACATTCCCTATATTGAAAATACGAAAACGGAACTTCAAAGAGCTCTTTCCCGCCAACTTCCTTGTTTATACGTGCGCTGACTGTTTCCATGCCCCGGGGGGTTTCATCTAAGGCCCGGTTCAGACGCCGAACTTTTCATGAGCCGAACTAAGTACATGAAAAGTTCGTCCTCTGAATAATAGGGACTTTAAGATCCAACGACGCGGACGACAGCGAGAACGTCAAAAAAACAGTTGGTTTAATTAGCAAAACAACAACTTCGCACGTGCATCACACTTTTTTGTACATTTCTTCCCCGTTTTTGCACGACTACGACGTGAAAATGCCTAATTTCGGGACGTAAACATCCAACGACGAAATTTTATTTCTCTTTCTGAGCTTGAATTTGGTCGCTTGAAATTCAGCTTCAGGAGGGGTCGCCTACAATTGACAAACTAAGTGGGTAGGAATAATCGCTATGAAGACTGAAAGAACGCAAATTCGCTTTTTAAGCGACGTTCTTGTCGCTGTCGCGTCGTTGGATCTTAAAGTCCCCAATTACAATTAGGAACGCCTGTTTCAGTTTTGAACGGCTCAGCCGTACTTTTCGCCTTTGGAACGGCTTTGATTCAGACGCCGAACTTTAATTTTCATGTACCGAACCTAATGAATAAATTATTATAACGTATTTTGTAAACTTAGTTCAGCTGCAATTAAGATCGGCATCTGATTCAATTCAGCCGGTCTTAATAATATGGGTCTGCCTTAATTCGAATTAGCTTCGGCTCATGAAAAGTTCGGCGTCTGAACCGGGCCTAACTCATTATCACCCATTCTCGTGGACGCTTTATTTCACGAAATAGAATAAACAAAATTTAGCCACGTCCTCACGAATCCGGATACGCTAAAACGGCATTATTCTTGTATTTGTGTCAACACGAGTTCGGTGTGGCGATGTGTCCAATTTGGATTCACCCGTCTACTCGAATACCCTACTGTGATTTACATTTGCTAGTAGGCATGCGCAAACCAAGCCTGCAAAATGATTTGGCGGCATTTTTGAATATTCTAGCCATTCGCCTAACCTGAGATCAGGCTCTATTTTCGTTTCGCTTTGAAAATAACACTCCGGCGAGCAAGGCGAAACGAAAAGAGAGCGGGAGCACGCAATAGAGAATGTATGAGAACTGCTAAAAATGGGACTGCACTTGCAAATCTCCCACAATGCACCTTGCTTGCCCCCCGCCCCCCCCAAAAAACTTTACATGTTTTTAATTTCTCTTGGGACGGCTGTAATACCCAGGAGAAATGAAAAACAAAGGTTATGGAAAATTTGGGGGGCAAACAAGGTGTATTATAGGAGATTTGCAAATGGCGAATATCGAGCATAATAGCCATGTCTGCTAGTACGTGGTCCCACCAGGCACTTGCTCGCGCTGGATGACCCAAAATCATCTTTGACGAGGTTTAAAAACGAAGGGGTCGTTAACAAGCCCTCGTCTCGAACTAAAAGATTGCACGATCTGGATGACATTAAGTCTTCTTTTGAATGGCTAGTGTTTGTCGTCAAAAAAAGCAAAATTGATTTAAACGAATGCAATAGGAGCCAGCAAACTTGCAAACAGAACATTGTTCTCCGCCATTTTGAGTTTATGACGTTACGGTAATTAACATCCGGTTTCAGTCGTCCACACGAATTCACCAGACCCGTCGTAGCCTGCGAGCAAGCTCTTCGGGGCGATCTGGCAGCGGGGCGGGAAAAAGGAAGGAGAAACCAGTGAATCCGCCCACCGAAAACGCATCTTTTTGAAACCACGCTCCAGAGTGGTTTAAGACCCTGTCTACACGAATCCGGTTAAAAAATGCGGTTAAAAAATGTCCGGGCGTCAAACTTCGTAAACTGTCCAGGCGTTCAGATAATAGAGAGCGCATGGAAATAAAAAAAAAAGCGCCCCCCAACTCTTCACCTGGCTAACCCTGGCTAACTTTTCCTGGTCACTTTTCTTTATCTCAACACCTGGAACAGGTCATAAACTTCGCCATTTAGCAGAAAAAACGAGTTCAAAAGAATTATATTCCGCAATAATCTTCGCAAAACATAACCTTAGCTCTTAACTCAGATCTGCAGCTTTTAATCCGTTATTATCTTTTACAAAGATTTTAAAACAGAATAAAATTTAAACTGTAGCTTTAGTCCTAATTTTGCGACAAAATACACTCACATACTACAGAGTTTGGCAGAATAGTGTGTCATGACAAGTAAACACGGCTATGCAATTTTAATTGCATAATCTTGCATCTCTAGGGTCACGCCCTTTAACGCTCACGAGAACGTTTTTCGCGAGTCGGGAAAGTTAGCCACCATAACGTAATTCACGGGCATCATTTTTTTCTTTACAGAGCGTTAACTTCTACTGACAGAGTCTATATAAGCTTCGGCCCATCTTTTCAGGTTTGCCTGTCAAAAAAATGAAAACATCCCATATCAGAAAAAACATTTTGAACGTTTGAGTTGTCTCACTAGGGTATGGTGTCCAATGATGAAACTCAACTTAAAAATATTTAGAAAGGACAAATGAATATACAGACCCTACTCCAAATCAATGTATCATCTAGTTTCTTGTAGATATATTTCATATCCTCATCACTAAACAGTTCTGGGCTTACTTCCGACGCTAAAGGCTACAAAATGCCAAAAGAAGAGTGACATCAAGAATGAGGCTCGAGTATTTAAACAACATTCCAAGAGACAGTGACTTTTAGCATGACAAAAATGGTACCTTTGTTGTATTTATCAGTAGAAAGACTGAGATCGGAGCCGAGGACGAAAGAGGGAAGAACATTCAAAGTGAAAAGGATGATTTGGGAATTTTTTTTTTAGTTCTAGGGGACACTGAAAATCAGCTTAAGCTCGCAGTTTTATTTGCGATTCCCTTCCCTTCGTCTTGTGACTTATGCAGCAGAAGCGAGCGAATTCTAGTGCTCAGGCGACCCAGACCCACGAATGATGATATTTTACTTTTCCCGAGACATTTTAGCTCACTGATGGTAGGACTGTGAGCAGTCTCTTTTTTTCTTTGTATGTAGCGAGGAGAGTGCGAGCGTAAAAACTCGAAGCCGCAATACGAGTAGTCATTTTCGTGTCTCGTGCGTTTCGCTCGCTAGACTAAGAAAAAAGAGAGACTTATCGTAGTCTACACTCTGACGGCAATTTACCCACGACTACGACCAGTGAAAATTAGGTTCTCCCGTCCATGTTGTGATTTTCACGTTCTATCATGAATGATCTACGGTAGCCTACGTAGCAAGCCATTCCGCGCGAGTTCGTCAAGAAAGTTAGAGCATGAGCGCTCTCGCTCCAACTTTCGAGCGTTAACTCGGAAACGTTTTCTACGCAGGCTATATCTACGGGAAAAGGACAACTCAAGATGTCGGATGTAAAGCCTTACCATCGTCTTTTTCTTTTGCCATAACGAAACGTCACGTACAATTCTCATAAGAACAGAGGCTAAAACCTAACATTCAAGGAAAACATACCATCAATAATTTTTTTTTGGATTCGGTTCTCAGTTTTGTGACATCCGGAATAATCTAGGTCGAGGTATGTGTTATCAGCCGAGCCGAAGGCCAAGGCTGATAACACTTACCGAGACCTTGATTATTCGGGAAATCACAAATACCGAATCTAATATTTGCTTTATTTGACATTGTTTCGACGAACGACAAACGCACCATCGAACGGAACACACTTTGCCCCGTAGCTGGAAATCATGCATTGAGTGCGCAACCTTCATATTAGTCAGTTATCTGCTAGCAGATATCTTTGCAAAATTGAAATCCCGATTCTTGAATCTAAAAAAAGGATTTGGAATCTAAGAATTCACACTCCTACTGGATCATTACATTAGAACTACCGTAAATCCTCTATTTGGCCCCCCTCTCAAAAAAGCCCCCTCTCTCTAATAAGCCCCCGTCCCTTTCGGGGAAAGAAAGTTAATGAGCCCCCCTCTCTTTTAAGCCCCCTCCCCTCTGCTAATTATTCTTCACTAATAAATGATAGACTGTATTAATCAATCACGGCTGTAAAACTTCGTTTGGACTGAGCCACGATGGTTTATTCACCAACTGGAAGTTCGGATTTGTTTTTGATCTCCAGCTGCATGACCTCTAACTTCTTGTACTTGAACTTTTCCACTTTGTGTTCTAGTTTGTTATTGAGAACTGATACCATTGTCTTTGCTAAATTAAATAAGCTCCCCCTTTCAAATAACTCCCCCGGTCTCTATCAAGCCCCCCCCCTCAAATGTGGTTGAAATAATAGAATAATAGAAGATTTACTGTCATAATAGAACATTTACTGTAAGTCCGATATGCCCTGCAGCTGTAACAGGTCCTCGCAGCGATGGTTGGGAAACAATGAGGAAACAAAGTGAACTATGGACTACAGTTAACGGACACCTTAGGGACCGGCATCAAGTGTCCGTCTTAGAGAGGTCCATCTTATAGAGAGTCAAATAAAAGAAGTAAAGAACTGCTGCAGGGACCAATGCTTGGTGTCCGCCTTACAGAGGTGCACATCTTATAAAGGTGGCCGTTAAGAGAGAGTCCACTGTAGCCCAAAAAGCCTTAAAGAAGTCGCAATTCTTTGAAACATGTTAAATGATTATAAGCAAACGAAGATGAAAATGATGTCAAGTCACCAGTGTGGGAGGAAAGAAAGTTATAAGTCCCCTAAAGGATTCAATGGGGTGCTGACTTCAGAATAATAATATTGTTTTCAAAATTTATTACACAGCTGACCTTGAGGTTAGAAGCAGCCAGATTGCTGGGTTCACTGTCTATCAGGCCACACTCAGTAGGCTCCAACAACAGTGTGGATACCAGACTTCTTGAGATGAACAACCCGAGCAGGAGAATGGTGCTAACTTGATTGGTTACTTGGACCAGTTCTCCTCGTTCAGAGAAGGTCATGTTATCCTATGAACAAAGGACAAAAAAAGTCTTTCTCATATGTTTTATATTTTGTCTTTCAGAAGTGATTTCTTTTTTCATGTGCAATTTTTAATAACTCTGCAATTTTAAAACAGATTTTACTAAAGCAAAATACAAGCGACTTTTGTAGCTTATAAGACACATGGCTGAGATATAGTAACTGTAAAAAACCTCCTAGACTACAAGTAAGCTCCCCAGGCTGCTCTTTGCCGGCTAAGTACTTCCATATATAAGTGAGCAACTCTAGTAAGCCACGAGCCCCTATAGGCAACCATCTACCCATTCAGTCAAAGCCCTGAAGTTGGAACCTCTTGTAAATAAACGTCCACCTCTCGTAAGTGACAATGACCGCCTTTTGGGGTTTCACTTTTAATAATTTTCCATTGTTTTTAACCTCTTGTAAGCAACCACTTGACACATGGTCTCATCTCTAAGTATATATGTACAACACTATGCAGAGTATAAGAAGAACCTTTAGGGGCAACACAGAACTGGACATTATCATTAATAAATTCCCTCCCAAGAGGTAGAGTGTCAGGACCTTTGGTTGGAAAAGAGATAGTTCATTGTCTGACAAATTCTGTAATGGCACATATCACGTCAATTCACTTTCAAACCTTTTCAACTTGCCACAAGTAGTCTTGTGGTAACAGGACACCCACTTGTGTCAGTTCCCACAGGACACCCTCCCTTGTTGCACTAAGCAGTCCAGTAGGTGGCTTGATTTGTGTCACATTATAAACAATTGTCTCAATCATTGAAGAAAGTTCACTCAAAGCAGCTTGAGCATCTCTTGACAGCCTCTGAAAGACTCCGGGATTTTTAACTTTCAAATCTAAAGAATCTTCGCTAACTGCATCTTGAATTGTGGCATAAATAGGGCTATCAAGATCAAGATAGTGTTTTCTGTGGAGCTTATCAATGGCATCATTAATAAGAGAATTCAGATGGTCCATAGCATCAAGTCTTCTTTGCTCTACTTTTTTTAGCAGTGATAGAAGTATGAAGCAGGCCCAGGCTACGTAACCAAAGTGCCGCAGCTTTCTGACTCTTTTGGTCCCAGGAAAAGGGTAGGGATGCTCAGGATTGCCCCTGGCGACTTGACCAATAAATCCCTGAGGCTTTACAGAAGTATGAGACCTTTTCTGTGGTTCAGACAATCTCTCTGTTGGTCGAACAGGAGAAGCAGTACCTCTAGGGACCTACAGGAAAATAGCTGGTTAGCGGATTTTTAAAATGCCTCTATACTGCCTCTACCTTTTAATGCGGTACACTCTAGTTCTAGCACTAATTTAAAAAAATTATTTTGTGAACAAAGAGAATATGCTGGCTGGAGGCTTTCTGCCTGGTATACACCTGGCTTTATGCGTGGTCTCTTGAACTCGGCCTAGTATGTTGATTTAAATGTTTAATCTTGGTAGATACAAGTCTAATTTTGTGCTGAAAGCCTCAACTTGTGTCAAGGGTTCTTCTTCTTTCAATTCTCTAGGACACAGAGGGTGGGGGAAGGAATATGCTTTAAGGATTATATAATGTTGTACCATGTTGAGTTAAAGTGGTTACCATTACTTACTGCTACTAGTTTCTAGTCACTGCACAACAGTCACATACAAGATTTGGAACAATATTATTTTACCAATGGTTTGGGTGATGGTTTTCGTTGAACAGCCACTGACTGCTTCACTGCAGGTACGGGGGGAGCAGGCTCTGATAAAAGTAATAAAAAGTTAATTCTTGGATATTTTGACCATGGAAGATTGGGAACTAAAGATTGAAATCATGCATAAGATACCAAATGAAGAAAATAATATTGCTGGTACCTCTTTTAGTATCTCTTTGAAGGTTAGAAAATGGTGTCATTTCCCGATGACCAATTTGCTCAATCTCAACTGGTTTGGTTGTGGGAAAACTGGAAGAAATTGCAACAAAGGAATAAATAAATAACCATTAGATTACCAATCCTTTATTCTATGGATGAGCAGCTTCATTGACGAGTCTATCTGTACAATGTATTTAATAGTTATTATGAGCACAAAGAAGACGAAGGGAAAATCATACAAGCTGCAAGTCAGCAAAACTACCTGTGGTGATCAATTCTGTTCTCTGCGGCATGTGATCTGTTTGTAGCTGATGATGAGATCATCTGCTGTAACATCATCTGCTGAAGCTGCATATTCTGTGACATAACCATTGACATCATCTCTGGATAAAATTAACCATGTACGAAGTCAAATGCATGGATATTTTCAACATCAAAATTATTGTTTTAGATTCAGGAAAATTTGCATGTAACAGTGGTGATTAATTTTGACAATACTGATGTAACTTAACAACTTGTTGTCTCTTAACACTCTGTTTACCAACTCAACAATGAAACAATGATTTTGTTCATCACATTTATGACTCATAGGACTTGACAACAACATGAAAGAAAATGTTTAAGGAGACAAATTTTATGACCCATAGTTCAACAATATTAGACACTCTTTTAAGCATGTCCAGGGCTGTCTTAAAGATTTCAAGTTGCCAGGCAAACACAACAAGTAGGCTGGGAATCAAACAGCTAAGGATTTCTTTTGGTTCTATTTTTTCTTCTATTATTCTCTGAAAGTAACTGGGGACCACGTTCATGGTAGTGGGGGAAAATCGCTGGCCCCTGCCCCTTAATGACAGCTCTGGATATCTATAAATTCTGTTGACTTATGGATTTATATTAGACAAGTATATAAAATTACTCATAAACTTTCTGTGGAGTTGCCAGAAGTTGTTCGCCGCAACAATTAATTTGCTTTTACCTTTTGAATGATCATCATCTTGATTGTAAGAACGTGTTTGGTGATGGCGTCTTTCCTCCTAAAAGAGAAAGCTTATAAGGTTACCTGACATGTAGCAACTGTTGACAAGTTACTTACTTTACATTACCATATTGTCTCAAAAAAAGAGTGCTCCCCCCCCTCTCCCCACAATGGTGAAAGTACCACTGAATATCTCAAATAGCTAGGATGATTAAAGGGAAACTGCTTTTTTTCTCTCACTTTTATATCTCTTTAAACTTTGACTAATAACGGCAGGACAAACAATATTTTTTTTGGTGTGGGGGGGGGGGGGTGGTTCTGTTGCATGAGTCACAGGAGGTACCCAGGATGGGGACATGGTAAGGAGACAGGTGAGAAACCCACTTTATCCTTTAGCATTGTGCACACCCTGTTGTTCCCACTTTCTACTCTCCCCAATCTTCTTCTGCCTTCAAAATGAAAGATTCATGGTGAGTAATGTAGGGAATACTCACTGAAAAAAACTCTTCTTCAGGTGTGTTTGTGGGCAAGAAAACATTTTGAGCCTTTCCATTTAATGTTTGCATGCCCTACCTTATTGAGGTGCGAGGAAATCCTAGTGGGAGGGAGGGGGTTAAGAGTCATCGGAATGGATAGCTGCATGTGAGTGCCGTCGATCTCTAGCTTGAACACATTATCCTCTCTATGAATTAGAGAAGGCGGGAAAATGTGTTGGCATGTTGATCATTGTTTTTCCTAATGGATAACATTAACAACTGTACCTCGATAGAGGAGGAAGGGTTCAGAAGTTAAAGACAATGGCCCCTCAAAATTTAAATAGCTCGCAACGTGAGCTTTTCTTATGTTCTTACTTTAACTCTTTGGAGAAGTTGTTCACTCTTCAGAGTTTCTGCTTGTAGCAGCTGTTGAATTCCTACGTTATAAATTATAAGAAAATTGTGATTGGACTAAAGCAAAATCGGCAAAATATGAGCCAAATTAATTAATCAAAAATACTCAAAACAGGTACAAGCTTTATACCAGCGTTTGAACTTGAAGGGGAGCTGTAGTAACTAGCGCCCATTCCATAGCTTGATTGACCTCTGATTTTCTATGAACAGTGAAAAGAATTATTAAAGGTTTCACTCTATATCCCCAAAAATCATGTGATGAAATTTCGACTTGCTTGTTCAACTAGTTTCAATCGAAGTCTGGTGAGTTCGTCTTGCACATAACTGTCCGCCATTTTGTTTTGATTTGTTTTCTGGTAATCATACACCATGGACTAGGCCATGTAAGCGCCATGTAAGCCGTATTCAAATTCATAGCCCGCTGACCAGTACTATCTCTGGCACGTGGCAAAATGGCGGACAAGCGTTAGTCTTCACTCAATACTTATTTTGTTTTTTTTTCGTCAACATGAGGAGTTTCAGAGCTTTGCAACGAAATAACAGACACATTTATTGGATTCTGACGGCCCAAAGGCCTCGATATCATGATCTTTCACGTGCGGCTGTCATTGGAACACCGGCTCAAAATTCTTCTGAGTTTCAGGTTCGAATTTATACACTTGTTCATGTAAAATTTATGTTTTATGACTCTTCTACGTAGCTTCTGAGAAATTTTTTATCCAAAGCGTTAACAAAACTAGAGTTTGGTAGAATTTTAAATTTGCGGACAGAAAATTGAAGCTCCGATCAAATTAGTATCTGAGAATCTTTTATACATCATAAAAGTATTACTGTAGTTTATTTGATTGGGTAGTTTCACTGTACACAATATTCGATTATTCCATATTTATTATTGCCAGTTTCGTTAAATTGTTTAATCACGCATATCAGATAAGTTAACAAAATTTAACATTCTATTGTGCATGTGCTGATTCTTTTTGTTTAGTCACTCCCATTGACACACCCCCAAATACACCCATGCACCTCTCAGCTGTGATGTGGTGTGGTCATATCACTTTAGGGAAATCAAGAACTAGGTCCATTCACAATTTCCATATATGTAAAAAAGATACTCCTCTTGCTACAATCTTTGTTTGTCAGGGAACATAAATATCTTCTGATAGTTCTACATTGTTCAACAGGAAAACAAATTTGAGAGTAAATGCAGAGATGAGAACTCATATTTTATCAAACCAATTGGCAAAAAGATCATTCTCACCACCTTTTTTCTTTCTTTCTTTCTTTTATAAGTGCTTCTATTTCCAGTGGGACAGCCTGTTGACTGCTTAATCATAATGTATAGAACTCAGCTATTTATATAAAGTTCTGACTGTTCTGAGCTCTTTTAAGTTTATCTTAGCTTTAATAGCATTTTGTGAGCAGACATACATAGAGCTCAAATGTGACCCTTCACGCGACTTGGGGGCTTATCTAAATTTCACGCTATGCCTATTTTCACGATCCAGGCCGTGAAAGTAAGAAAAATTTTTGGAATGTGAGTGAAATTTCTCTTTCACGCCGTGAACACGCCGTGAAAAATTCACGGCTACCGTGAAAATTTCACGCAGTGAAAAAGTTTATAATGGCCGTGAAAATATTTTATGCCGTGAAAAATTTCAGTCACGTGAAATTTAATTTCATGCCGTGAAAATCTTCCAACATGAAAATTAATGTAAACATTGTTTTCAAAAGTGTATTGTTTAGATGTCATGCAAGCCTTTATTTGCCCAGATGAATGTAACATGCCTTGGTCAGTACTTTTTGATTTTTGATTTTCTGCAAAACAGATGAAATCGCTAAAGAAAGACACCGAAGATCGCCGAAGATAATCAACAACTGCATGATTCCGTCTTTGTATTCCCTAAATTTACAACCAAAGTATCGTTTAAAATTTAAAAGAATTTGGAAGCTTTTATCTCTTCCACGAAGTTATGCAAATGCTAGACTCGGTGGCGACAAGATGAAGAAATATGTAACGCATGTTTTGATATTGCGTGATATCTTTTGGATTTATTTCATTTTTACCCTTCTGTTCAGATCGTTGTAACGGCGAAATTTTGAGTATAACATTTAGCAATGAGACAAGGAACTTGAAATGGAGCATGATAAATCAAGTAGAGTTTGCACGTGTGATGGATGATGATGGGGCTACAAAACTGCAGATAAGATCAGTCACTTCACTCAGCGTCACTGCAATGCGCGTCGACACAGACGGCAATTATCCCGGTTTTAGGAATGGCAGTAATAGTTAGTCTTTACGCAAAGAATTTCGTTAGGTTTCTTGAGTGAAAACCTTGCCATGTTTGGTAAATAACTGATCGTCTCTGACATCGACATTGGGAAAATTTGCACGTTGAGGAGAAGAAAAAAAAGAGCCATGACAGATAATGTAAACAATGCAAATTGACATGAAACACACGCAGTTCCGATCGTGCATATCTAATAAAATACTTGCCATGAACACATAAAAATATCGACAAGAAATTGTGACTAGTTTGATTGTGATTTGTGGCTTTACAGGCCTGAACGCGGAATAGTCTGAATACGCTTTTTTTTTTATTTTTGTCATGAGCTATTTAAAACGGCTTGAATATGCTGAGAGAAATATTATTTTTTGCGTGGGATCAACTTCCACAAATTTAGCTTGACGTGACCAGGTATTCTCGTTTTTTTCCAGTTCGAAAAGGGGCGAGAAAAAACACAAAACAAAAAAAAAACAGGTTAGATTTCATTCACCCTCGACATGTTTAATTTCACGGCGTGAAAATGTGTTCACTCTTAATTTCACGGCGTGGAAGTCTTCACTGATCTTTCGCAACATGATCAGTTTCACGCCAAGAGTGAAAAATTCTCGCAAGGAGTGAACGGGCGTGGAATTTGAAATTCACGCCGTGAAAACTCTAATTCACGCACCGTGACCGTGAAAAAAATTCACGGTTTTTAGTGAAATCCATAAGCCCCCTTTTCGCATGAAGGGTCACAAATTATCCCTGTTTCAATCATGTTGGCCTAACAGGACAACAAAGCAAGGATGGCTGCAGTTGTTCAAGACTTGGAGAAAACTGTCAGCAAAATTAAACTTGGTGCGTATCTTGAGTTTTCATTTTGTTTTTGCTAAGAAATTGCTGATTTTTTTCCCCATTGTTTCAAGTTATGATAATGAATATTATGTAAAAGGAAAAAGCGAATAGATATGTATGATGGTTTTTGGTTTCTAGATTCATAATAATAAATATTGAAAATAAATTTAGACACATAAACAAATTGAAGTTTTAGTTGTTGTTTTGACAATGTAGCATTTTTGTCTTTTCAGTGTTAGACTGAGATCTCTCCCATAATTTCTCCCTTAAACTCAGTATACCTTTTTACACCTGTTAAAAAGATGCATGCAAACAACAAAATTTTTTTTCTCCCAACACATTCTTCAAAAATCGGGTTAGAAAAATGATACAACAATATACTCTCTTCTTCTTCTTTCTTTAAGTATATACCCTCCTGTCTCCTTTTATCACCCTTTCGTACTCATGTACGTTGTCAGTAACTGTGCTCACATTGTGGGTGGCTCCTTCTAAAATGTTCTACATAGGATTTAATGGAGCTGAAACCAATTTTATTACTGTGAAATTGCCTACTGATGATCAATTACGACTTTTAGATATTTCGAGAAACAACAATTTTCCTAGCCCTTTGAATTACTAAATGGGTTCTGATTCATTTTTAGGTGGAGATGAAAAAGCTAGAAAGCGACACACTTCAAAAGGAAAAATGCTTCCTAGAGATAGAATATCCTGTTTGTTAGACCCAGGGTAAGATTCAAGCATATGTTCTTCAGCTCATTTACGTTTCTTGTATCCAAGAGACCTTTAAGATATTGTTGACTTCTGCTCTTAAGCAAAGCTCTACAGTTGAACCATGTGCAACCACATCCCATAAGCAACCACCTATCCAAACACCAAATTTTTGCCCGTCAAAGCCTACAGTTGGAATCTTTCATAATCAACCACCTCTTGTAATCAACTGCAACAACTCTTGGGCTTAAATCTTTCACAATTTTCCATTGATTGTTTTTAATCTCTTGTAAGATGGTGACCACTTGGTTCATGGTCTGATTACTATTTTCACTGTACATACGGTACATAGTACACTATATAAATCATGCAAAGAACTTAATCCTTTTGTGACTGATGACATAGAACTGCACATATCATAACTAAGAAATAACATGCATTAACTTCTCTTCTGAAAAGGAGATGTCTCGAGACCTATTCTCAGAAGAGACCCAATGTGGTTTGATATTCATAAGCGGCCACTAAATCTTAGCATTTTGGGTGGTCGCTAAGGTTCAACTGTATCTTAATTTAATGCATCAGTTTGAAATAATTATTTAGGTCTCCATTTCTTGAACTATCTCAACTGGCTGGTCATAAGTTATATGGCAATGAAGAAGTTCCTGCTGGAGGTATAATAACTGGAATTGGACGAGTCTCAGGGTATGTAAGCTTAAGACTGGTTCAAGTGATTAAAAGACATTGGCTTCATAAATAAAACAACGGTTTTAATACAAGATATGTTTTGAAACGATATGGCTCACAACGTCATTCATTAGTTAAAAGAGATTATTAGTAAGAAATAATATATAGCAACAAAACATACACCCATAATACAATAAATAACATTAAAAATATTGAACAGCAACAAGTAAATAAAGAATATATGCATGTTATAGGGTGAAAGTGTAAGTGTTAAATTTACGTGTTTGACCTGTTGGTTAAAGTTGAATTTTGTCAAGAAATGTTCATAACATCTGCCAGGAATGTGGTTGGGGCAGAACCTGAGTTTTTAATTAAAAACTGGATAACAGGTATTCTCAAAAATGCAAATTGAGGCAAGTGTTTACAAAATTAATGGGTATCCAAAAAAATTACACTGTTTTTCAGACCAAAACATGCCTTTTTATCAGTTCCTTGACTCAATTTGTGAATTGTTTGATGTTCTACATGCATACATTTCATTTAGACAGGACTGATGAACGTTAACCTAATTCCCCATTTTTTTTTCTTAGAGTGGAATGTATGATTGTAGCTAATGATGCCACCGTTAAGGGTGGCACATATTACCCAATTACAGTTAAGAAGCATGTGAGAGCCCAGGAGATTGCAAGAGAAAATAGATTACCTTGTATTTATTTAGGTAAGAACCTGATCAAGTGTTGTCACCCTTGTTAAGGACGTTCGTGCGAAAATCTTCTAACATTGATTTTTTTTCTGAAACTTTCACCAGTTTGAGATTATGGGTTACTCATGTCAAAAATCTAAAAAAATTGGGGGGTCACCAAATTCGTTTCGGAGATATGATGTTCGAAAGATCACCCCAAATCTGAGAAATCGGGCTTCGTTACTACATTTGGATAAAGTGCCTGTTTGTGCAAAAAGTTTATAAATAAATCCCTGAATTGAAATTTTATCCGCCAATTATTGTTATTGTAGATCCATAAACAAAATTCGGTGAACTAAAAAACTTCCTCAGAGTTGATTTTATCATTTAGCGGACACATTTCTACTCTCCTAACAGCCACACAAATGCCAAAATGCCGTGTACACAGTAAAATTGGAAATTTTTTACCTTCCCACATTGATTTTTTGTTCATTTTTTCACAATCTATCGGAAAGTGGAAGAGAAAATGGTCTACCGAAAAAAAATGGGGTGTCACCGACCATTTAAGAAAGTAAATTGCAAGCAAAGTTAACGCAACGACTACCAGCCTTATATGTGCTTAGACAGTTTTCTCTGTGCGCATCATTTTGTGTATTTTACTGTCACAGAGGAAGCCATGTTGCTATGAGTATTTTACTATTTTATTTGTGCTTCTCTTTGTCACTTTTGTTGCTGTTTCAAGGCCATGTCACTTTTCGGAATTCTACCTTAACAGGGCCTCTACATTATATGGCATTGCACTGTATTACATCCGCAACTACTCGGACCCCCACCAAGCTCTCACCTAGCCTGCATAGCTGGCGGGATTCTGGTGCCCGGGGTACTTTCTCAGCGACCACGCAAAGCGAAGCGATCAGAGGAGCTGCAAGGGAAAGCACATTGACTTTCTACCCACTCTTCTTGCGGCTCCGTCGCCAAAACAATTACAGCACCCCCACGCTAATCCCGCCAGCTACGCAGGCTACATGTAGCTCTCACCCCTCAACTCTCACTCCTTTTGTAAACACTACCCTCACCCATCGCTCACACCCCTAACTAGAATGAACTTTCAGCCCTCACCCTCTTGAAACAATAAGCTAGCTTAGAATTAAAATCGCATGGGGTGTTCAACGGTTGGTGCTTGTTTCAAAGTCAAACAACAACAGTTCGCCGGATTTAAGCTTCCATAGTACTTGTGATAGTTCTGTTGCTGCAAAAGTTAAAAAAGTTTCTGGTGTAACAACGCTGGCCTGGAGCTTTAGTAGCTCCATGCCATGGTCGGCGGCGAAGTAAATGTAAGTTGCTCGTAAAGCCGAACGCACTCAGTTCAACCAATTAGGCGAAACTGATAGTTTGACATAGTCATTGTACATTTAACTTTAAATAAACACTTTAATACAAATACGTTTTCTTGTCTATTAAGATTTTTTGAAAACACAAATGGCACAATATCATTAAAATTTCTAGCCAGTTTCGCTTCAAAGTAAAAGCTATTCAACACGTAAGAATGCTCGCCTGATTTGATTTGATTTTTGTCATTTTTTTAAAGTCTTTTGATATTATCTCAATGACCCTTCAAAGTGATGAGTCAACGATGAGCTCAATAATAGTAATACAGTTTATGTTCTTGGGCATCAATATGTTTTGGGCCCTTCATCTCAGAGGTCATTTTAACCCTCGACTAGCGGCTCGAGCTGAAGTTTGCGTGAGTCTGAATTGGACCCTAAACACTGATATGCCCGCGAACAAAGACTCTATTGTTTTATTAGCCCCCTGGCTAATTATTGGTCTCGTTTGTCGTTCTCGCGCATAAACTCTCTTGCTATTTTCAGAAAATATTGAATGTATGGATTTCATATACTTTATTTTCGCGATTTTGGCCTGGCAGTATTTCGCGAGGTTTTATTTTCGCGATTTCAATAGGCAAATATGAAAAAAGGCATTAAATTTCGCGCTTCAAGTGTTCTCCACTTCACCCACCCCTTACCCCGCCTTACTCACAGCCCTTACGCCTCCCCCTTTACTCCTTACTTGCAGCCCTCACCCCCACTCCTCAGTCGCAGCTCTCACCGCTCACTCTCAACCCTCATCCCTCGCCCCTTTACCCCTCAAGTAGAAAAGACCTGCTTGCCTGGAAAGATCTAGAACGGAAATGGAACGGTTGACGTTTTTTGTATTGCCGAACAGCAACAGTTCCCTGGTTCTGTACTTCCATAGTGTTTGTGATAGATCTTTCGTCTCATTTCCTGGATCTGCTGCCGCGTGAGACCCTCAGTTCGAGTGGGGCCAATCACCATACGGTTCCATATCCACCCAAAGCAGTAATGTGGGCTACCGGGACCGTGTCGACTGAACACGTTTTTGATGAAGAGATGAATTAAGTCGTCCAGTTTATTGTTTTCCAGTGCCTCAACGATCATCTTTCTCGATGCACCAATCGAACTGAATACCAGATGGCTCTCACCCATTTCAAGACAACACACGTCGCTCTTAATGCACTTATACAGGGCGAGTAATATATTTTCCGCCATAGCTGGTGTCGACGAAATGCCCCACAACACATCTCCGTGGTTTTCACGTACATTATCGAATCCGTAATCGCGTGCAATTGTCGATCCAGAAACAGGAAGAAGATCTTCGAAACATAATCTAAACAGTCCATGTATTGAATGGTCTGACCTGATACAGTTTGGCTTGTGTTTGCTCCAGTGTTTCTTTTGGCAATCTTTTGAACAGTACGCTGCATGTTGACAGTTCGCACATTGCTTGGTTGTCTCCATCTCTTTATCACAGTTATAACAAGATCGCGGCATGTCAGATTCCTTAGACGAGGTACTCAAGTGTAGCTAAGAAAAGCGTCTTTAATACTTTGGAGAAAAAAACTATTTTGGTTAACCTTTCCAGCATTTTAAACTACCGACGTTTTCCCGGAATAGACCGGAAATTCGGAGAAAGTGTTTCATGATACAGAACAACAAAACAACTGACCCGTGACTACCTAATTAGCAAGTAGTTGTATATTCCATATTAGGCATTGAATGACAATAATGAAGTCTCTCTGTTTTCCAAGAAATCTTTAATATTTCCTTTATACCACCTCAAAAATATGAAGGTGGATTCATTTGCAACATACGAGGATAGTGTGTCGCATTTGCTCGCCGGAAATTTTATAATTGTTTTTACTGGGCCTAAAAAATTCCAGCGAGTAAATGCGACAGCCATACGCGTGTATTGCAAATGAATCCACCTTTATATTTTGGAGGTTTTATAAAGGAAATTTCGGGGCTTTTCTTTGCTCGCTAGTTGCGTTTACGTGTATTGATGGTGTTTATCTAATCTTTAGTATGTTCATACGTCAATGGTTTTCACTGTTCCTGCATTCGACATGTGCGCCGCAAAAATTTTCGAGAGCGTTGGAATATTTTCTTCGTCCTTGAAAAAAGAAGCCTTTCATAAACAACAAACCGAAAGTCAAGTCAAAGATTGCCTTCATGCTCTTGAATTTATCCTTTACATTTTCATAAGGAATGTGTCACAGTTACGGCTGAACTAGCTCAGATTTTTGGGCCAGGGGCTGGAACGTCAGGGGCACCCAACGAGAATATTGTTCAAAACGATTAAACATAGCACTGTTGAACGTATTTTAGTAATTGAACGGTAGTTATAGGCATATTTTTATCCCCTAAAAAGTTTTTATCTGTTGGGATTTCCTATCTGAAAGTCTAGTTCGAAAATTTCAGCCAGAAAAAAGGCTCCCGAAAATTCTAGGTGACCTTTTAGGGGTAAAAATCAGTTAAAAATGGGCAATTATACCATTTTTTAGCTGTTCGAAAATCCGAGGAGAGGCAGGCAAGCAAAAAATTTTGTAACAAATGTTCCGAAAATTCTAGATCTCAAATCGTCGTCCGAAAAGATATTTTCCAAAAACTGACGTTGGGTTCCCCTGGAACGTTTCCGTTGTCGGCTTTTTCTTTTTACCAGTTTCCATTCATTTACGATAGTTGTATGTGACCCAAGCGTTTCTTTTTTGGAATCAGTTGACTCAGGCGGTGCAAATCTTCCAAGACAAGCAGAAGTGTTTCCGGATAAGCTGCATTTTGGAAGAATATTTTATAACCAAGCTAACATGTCTTCCAGGGGAATCACTCAGGTAATGATATACTTAAAAGAACAAATATCTCACTACTTGCTAGACTTGCTACAAGTCGACCTCTCATAAATTCTGAGCGAGCGAAGCGAGCTTCAACGAGGCCGCGCAGCGACCAAGCGAAGGAATAAACAACCAGGAAAAGAAATTTTAAAGGACTTTTAGAAAGTCTCACAACTTTCTTTTTGGTCATAACAAAGAACGCATTGTAAACTTTTTGTCCTATTTCTTTTTTACGCAATATTGATGCTTACCACTCATTACTTTCTAGCATGCTAGCAAGTTCTCATTTGGAGGATATTGCGCGAGCGCACGCAAAATGAGACGTCAGATCGAGGGGGCGTTCACTTTCGGCTCTCTTCGCTGGTCAATGGTAATGGAGAGCTTGGTTGCAGGCTAATTACTTTCTCATGACTTTTTTCAATTGATTTGCGTGATCACTTCATTGACGTAGACTGCTTGCAGTCCGCCATTTCTCTAAGATCCGTCGAGTTCTTAGACAGTGAGCGCGTACGAACAAAAAACGCTTTTAGTCAAAAAATCTTACGCCCTCGTTTCTCGCGGCTCGCGCGTGCTAGCTCAGTGACTTTAAGAGAGAAAATAAGAGACTGCTCGTAGTCTATCACCGACCATAATCAAGCTAAATAATCAGTATCAAGTATGGCTGGATTATTGTTCTAATATCGGATATCGTTTTTCGACCTGCCTCTGTTGTTACTTATTTACAGATCGCAGTTGTCCTAGGTTCTTGTACTGCTGGTGGAGCTTATGTACCAGCTATGGCTGATGAGAGCATTATTGTCAAGCAACAAGGGACTATTTTCTTAGGAGGCCCACCTTTAGTAAGTATTTACTTTTGACAAATAGCTGGAAATGTTTCCTCGACAATTCGCACTTCGAGGTCACATGACATCTAACATTAAAATTATTTCCCGTTAAAAGTCTTTGAGCCTAAAAAGGAAACAGGGAAATTATATCTTGTTGTTTTACCCTGTTTTTGCCTTTGTCTCCAAATACGGAAACTGGTCCCAGGCTAGTGTTATCCGTGAATGTTGACCGCTCGATAAGAATTAGTTTCATGCGTGGGCCTAAACCGCGAGCAAGCTCTTCGGGGCGCTCTGGCGACGGGGCGGGGCTCCTTTCTTTTCCTGCCCCGCCGCCAGAGCGCCCCGAAGAGCTTGCTCGCAGGCAAGCGTGGGCCATGAGAGAGTTTACTGTCTCAAAAACTATCGTATTAAAGTCAAGTAATATATTTCTGCGTCAGGTTAAAGCTGCCACTGGTGAAGAGGTGTCTGCTGAGGAATTGGGTGGAGCCGATCTACACTGCAAGTGAGTGAAACACAAGCTGTTTGTTTTCCATTTACCGCTGTTGGCTTTTTACCCCAGAATTAAACCTTAAGTTTAAGTTTAAACCCTTTGACGGATTTGTGTGTAACGACTATCAGAGGTCCACAAGTCATGATAACTTAATTGGATTTCACTGCAAGAGCAAAGAACACTAATTGATCTTTCACCTTTTTATAAATCCAGCCAGTATGATTTAGTCGCTGTGCCTTTTCCTAGTAAATAATATCTTAACCTTTCCTGTACCAGGAAGGCCCATAGCAGACCTGACATACAACTTATTACCCGTGTTTGTTGATGCCCGATGTATACCTGTGGGGAACAGTCTTCCGTCTATTGCTATTATCGCTCCGTCTTTGCCCGTGTCTAAGGCCACAGTTAAAAGCTATCTGTCATCAATAATGCCTAGGTAATAATGAGCACCCACTGCCACGTTAGCCTACTAATTAACGATTAAAGACAAAGGTAAATGTCCTTAACGGTCTACGGAAGAAATCCGGTCATGAATGTGACTATTCAAATGAAACCTCTTCAGCGTTATTTTTTTGTATGGTGCTGTGAGTAACTCTTGAGTCTGTGGATGAAATCCTTAAGGTTGACTATAAAATTGAATGCCACTGAGCTTTGGTTCCCTTAACTGATGCCTAAACAAGACGTTCCTAAGACCAAGAGAGGTGATGACGTCACCAAAAAAAAGCACGGGAATTTATTTAGGTCATCAGGTCACCCGCATGAAAACGATTCTTTGGAGACAGGGTAGGGTTGACTTGGAGTAAAACAATTCCCAGCTACTCTCTGCTTTCCCTCGAAGCTGTTTATAATGCTGTACAGTTTTAAACTTTCGAGTCAGGGTAGAAAATCTTGTAGTTTAAGCTGCTAAAGAGAAAAATATCAGAAAACACGTTTTCTTTGGCAAAGTTGTTTATAGAATTTTGCAAGCTACTATTGGGAAGTTTTTAAAACTTTGTGCTATTTCACAGAACATCAGGAGTGACGGATTATTGTGCTGTGGATGATTTTCATGCCCTACATCAAGCGAGACAATGTGTGAAAAACCTCAACTACAAAAAAACTTTACCCGTGAGTTTCTAATATATCGTAAATCATGTTTACTATTCTAATTAACAATTATTCCTCAAGCCTGAATGGGCTCTGAGTCAATAGCCCATGAGGCCAAAGGCGAGAGGAATAATTGTTTTACTAAAATCCAACTAGTTGGTCAAAAATATCGAGAATAAAAAATTTTTTAGCTACATAAAGCTAGACTTTAACCCTTTTTTGCCGCCAAAAAGCCCGCGCCTTTTGCTACTAGTGGACTATAACATATGGCCTAGTAGCAGCTCAACCAATGAGAACGGAGCATTGATAATAGACCACTAGTTGGATTTTACTAATATCCATTATACTGTACCTGAAAGTGGCTGAAAAGATACCCAATGTTAGCCCGCCCCCCACCCCCCCTCCCCATAAGAAAGAGCCGACATTTCGCGACGACATCACTGGTTTCTCCCGCGAAATGACGTCTGAGTAACGACTGCAGAAATTCCACACTGATGACGCGTCACTACCCAGATCTGGGTAGCGAACGTCATCAGTACGGAATTTCTGCATGTCGTTTCGCGGGAGAAATCAGTGGTGGTGTCGGCGTCTTCTCAGGCTAACCTAATGTCAACCACAAATAGACCCAGATTGGACCGCAAGTGTTCCGGAATAAATATAATTTATGGAATGACATGGACTAGTTCAGATGAGAACAAGGAAGTGGGGACACGGGAAGCGTTTGTACAATTACTTGATGTATTAAACAATTATTGGATTCGGTTTTTATGACATCCAGAATAATCTAGGTCGAGGTAAGTGTTATCAGCCGAGCCGAAGGCTGAGGCTGATAACACTAACCGAGACCTTGATTATTCCGGATCTCACAAAAACACACCGTCGCAAGGAACCTGAATCGATATAATTGTTATTGGAAATTATGCATTGCACGTAACCTACAGATAAGTATACATCTGTTTTGCCAGCAAATAACAATTCAAACACAACCGTTGAATTAGCGCCCACCTGAATAAGATATAATCCTTAAGGCAGAAAAAAGTTAATGAGCGCCCAGCCTCGAATAAGCACCCACCCCTCCTCCTCCCAATAAACTCAAATATCTGCTCAGCCCCAAATAATTAACTGAATAAATTCTAATAAGAGACTTGCGGACGGATTTTCTTCAAAACAGAAACCTTAGCTTTGTTGGCTCTTCGCCAATTGTTATTAGCATTTAGATAAACATACTTCACTTGTGAAAATGGTGAAAATTTAATAAAGCCTTGAATAAGTTGTGATTTTTTTTTCCTCGTTTTGTTCAGGTAACAGGGCGGTTAATCGAATAAATACCCTAATTAACCTAGATGACCTGTTCTGCTAATTTCCAAAATTAGCTGTATTTTAGTAATGAGAAGACAGATAACCTTAAAAAAGATAATTTGATGTTTTTTCCTTGTTTTGTTCAGGTAACCGAATAGAGCTTTCTTTAATTTCTCCATAGACTGTCAGATGACCTTACGGCATTGATTTTGATAACCTCAAAAAGTCATTTGATGTTAAAGAGGTAAGGAAACCGAATAGAGCTTTCTTTAATTTCTCCAGAGACTGTCAGAGCTTTCATCTTGAGAGTGATTTTACTGGTCTTGGCGAGTTTGGAAACGTTCCCCAATTCTCCTTTTCGCAGTTGGGTGCGCCTACACTAACTTCTTCAGTTCTGTTGAATGCTCCTGCACCAGAAGTCGCTCACCCATTTGCGCAAAAAGGCATTTGCTACAAAGGTGGTACACCTTTTCAGAACTCGTTTTATAGAATAGCAAGGGCTTACACCTTATATACATGGCGTGGACTCGGAACTTCACTAATATGGATTTAATCTTGATAAAAGGTTTCACGTTCACTGATCACTCTAATAGTGCCGTGGAGGCTGTGAGTGCCCAGGGTACTCCTAATGATGGCCTATTGTCGGGGTACTATAATGGCCTGCAATGGCCTATACGGGGACGCTCCGCCTCCGTACCTTTTTCAGTCTTCAGATCAGATACATGAAAGGGTAGTATAATTATAAAAGGTTAGGGAAATCTGTCATTTCGGTCGGTAAAATGGCTCAAAAGGGCTAACAGATATATTTTATGACTGAGAAAACGTCCTGGTTTTGTGATAGTGCATTGACAGCAGTTGAGAGGGATGCAAAGTTCTAAACTAGGTATGTGAAAGACTGTCACTTACCACTGAAAGGGGTACCATTTGTCAAGAGAAGTTATACGAAAGGGCTACCTTTTCTGTCAATAATGACATGTTAAAGGGTAAGGGGTCGGACCTCCTAGGGGCGGAGCCTCCCCGTATAAAACGTTTTTGAATGCCACCCCCCCCCCCCCCGGCAGCGAGCGAGGCTTCTTCTTCCTTCCATACGTGGTGGAGCGACCGACACAGCCTGACTCTAGTCTTCCATTAATAACGTGATCCTCTTTCAGGTTATTGCCAGAATCGTAGATGGGAGTAAATTTGATGAGTTCAAGGCGATGTACGGAGATACTCTTGTCACAGGTTAGGTCAATGTCCCATGGTAGCCCTAAAGGGTGTTTTTTCGGATAATTTTACGGTTCTGTGAAACTTTTTAGGTCAATGTTGGTTTAGGGGATGGGTGAAGGGATATCCGCTTTTTGTCGTCTATCGCCCCATGTAAGGGAATTTGGATTCCGGAATCCGGGAATTTTTTGCTTGTGGGATCCGGGATCCGAGAAATTTCTCTTGTAAAATCAGGAATCCTGGGCTTTGGAATCCGGAATCCAAGTTCCACTGGCAAAGACTTTGGAATCCAGAATCCATGCAATAGTGTCTTGGATTCTTTTACATGGGGCGACTTCTAGTCAAGAACAGTTTCAGACATGGTAGAGAGGTTAATCACCACATTTACGGCAAATGGCAAACTATTTCTTCCCTTTAGTTGTTTGTTGTCTTGTGTGTAAATTCAGTCCTCCATGGCATCCGTCGAAGGCGTGAAACATTCATCGCTACAGCGTTCACAGACAGTCGGCTTTCTGTAAGCTGAAATGACTTCTGGCTCACCTCCTTAGTGGAGGCGTGTGTGGCCGAGTGGTTAACGCCTCGAACTGCAGATCTGGAGGTCCGGGGTTCAAGCCTCGCCCGTCGCGTTGTTTCCTTAGACAAGGAACTTTACTCCAATTTGTCTCTCTTCACCCAGGTGTATAAATGGGTAAAGGCGATATACTGCTGGGGGGTAACCCTGCGATGGACTAGCATCCCGTCCAGGGGGGAGTAGCTTTATTCATAGGCTTGCTTCATAGTACGGAAACCGGAAATAAGCTTCTGCCGTGTGGGCTTTTGGCTCGTGTGCGACTTTACCTCACCTCCAGCAATTGTTTTATGTCTAGCATAATAGAAACCGTCATACTGAAGCATATGATCCCTAACGTATTTGACAACGGTAGAAAACAGTCAGTTTTTATTCACGTCACGGGAAAAGGCAAACGTGAAATGGTGGGAAAAATTGATCACGAGGCCATTCTCTTCCTTTTGTCTTTTGTCTTTTGCCGTTTGCCGTAAAGGCATTTACAGTACTGTCAGTTTTTTCCCTTTCTTTTCTTTTCTTCCAAAGGTTTTGCTCGCATTCATGGCTATCCCGTGGGAATCATTGGCAACAACGGGGTTTTATTTTCTGAATCAGCCCTGAAGGGAACACATTTTATACAGCTTTGCTGTCAACGTAAAATACCGCTTCTATTTTTGCAGAATATCACAGGTAAATATGACGACCTCCTTGATCGTGCTTGAATTCAAGCAGTATCTAGGTTTTCGCGGACGGACGTCTTTGCTGGCTCTGTTGGCCAGTAGCGTTACGTGCAATGTAAATTTTTCATAACAAAATGTCGAGTACGAAGGAAAAAACCTTTGCAATAATACTGATGAGGCCAAGAAATTGTTACAGACACTTCACTTAACAGTGTCGATGGTCATATTTCGTGCTTGGGCACCTGTGATTTATTTTTTCAGGTTTTATGGTTGGTAAAGATTACGAGGCTGGTGGCATCGCTAAAAATGGCGCCAAAATGGTGACGGCTGTGTCATGCGCACAAGTTCCCAAGATTACTGTTATTATTGGTGGAAGTTTCGGCGCGGGAAATTATGGGATGAACGGCCGAGCATACGGGTAAGAATACAAATGAGACACAAAGAAAATGGTGCTTTGTAGTGTATAAAATGCAATGTATGTACAACCTCGTCCCCAGGCTTTTCCCTTAGAAAATGGAAGGGGGCGCTGCTACAGTGATATGGGCATCCCCTTCTCATATTACCTTAGCGATTTGGGTTAGCGTTAGGGTTAGGGTTACAGGGGATGCCCATATCACTAGGGTTTTGGGAATGGGGATGCCCATATCACTGTGACAGCGGCCTCCTATTTGCCATTGGAAAAGCCCTGGATGCGAGGTTGAATGTATGAGTAAAGGAAATTCAAAATTGTAATGGTATAGAGTTGGTTTTGAGCGATATTGGCCTCGTTGTTCTCATGGAAGTCAGCGCATTTGTGGTTGATTTAGTTTATCTGTTTTGTTTGATTCCTCGATCTTTGTAACCTACAAGACGTATATTATCATGTTATCTCATTGGTTGAAGCCCCACTGGAGTCAAAACGCGACTTTCTAATCGAAAAGCCTAGCCTATAACCAATTGAAAGTAATTACAAGAAAACAAACCAATAAAATTGAGAACCAAGTTCCTGTCGCGGGCATCAAGAGCGGGAATCTGGGAAAACGCGTGCGACCTTTACCTAGTCACAATTCATTGCGGATTGGTTGGCATTTGAGTAGAAATTTCTTCAGTGAAAGGGACTTTTTTTTGTTGCCTTTTAGACCTCGGTTTCTATATATGTGGCCTAACGCTCGCATTTCAGTGATGGGTGGAGAGCAAGCCGGTACAGTGCTGGCAACTATCACCAGAGATCAGAGAGCAAGGGAAGGAAAAGAGGTCTGTATATTGAGCGTACATTAAATTAGCCAATTCCTCTTTTCATGAGAAAAAAAAGAAAAATCACTAGAAGATATTTATCTTTAGTGGCTTTATCCAGTATTTCATCCTCAGCAGTGAGGACCACCTTGTACAGCACAACAAACAGTACCACAAGAAAGTACTGCTCAGTAGCTTTAGAATTTCACCCACAGAATAATCTTGTTCAGCATTGTACACTGCACCAAAATAGACTATTCTCGAGGTCCTCTATATAATTACTTGATCAACTGATGTGCCTCACTTTCGTTGTATTTCATTTATTATGTTCATATGAAAAGACGAGCCCACTGGGCTTTATAAAGGTCTTTAGTAACTTTAAAAATCGCGCTTCAGGATTTCAAGAGGGAAACAACGTTTCTATATGAGGAAGTATTCATCAAACAGAAGAAAGTATTCCCCTCTAGATTCGTCTGCAAGGTTTCTTACCTCTCATCTAGCTATTACAGTGTGCATGTCTTGTTTCATTTTATAGCTTACTGTGGAAGAAGAAAATCAAATCAAAGAACCTATAATAAAGAGATTTGAAAAAGAAGGCCATCCATATTTTTCATCCGCAAGGTAGGCTGCCAACTACAAGAGTAGGTTAAGCGAAATTAGAGTCCTGCGATACATTTTTCACATTTCAGTTACGCACATCAGGATCAACGTGAAATAAATTGAAGATGTTCAATGGCTGTGCGGAGATACGGAATTTCTTTTTGATTGTTATCATGAGTGAGCGCAGCAAACGAGTAAACCCATTTTCAACACGAGAAGGGAAATTTTGTACCTCCTAGCGGCCATGTAATGTTCTATTTATTATATAAACACCAATGAAATACCAAACTATTTCACTTCACTTTTTGCTGTGAAAGACGCGTTTTATTATGTGGCCATACCAACGGTAACCTTTTCATAAGTAAAAAACACACATATTATTTTCGCCTATGAAGATAATCATGTTTTCGCGCGAAAGTTCACCAAGTATTTCATTAGTGCTTATATGTAATGATATCATTTTTAAATATTAGAGAATGAGATAACTTTGGGTTTAGAATAAAAGGGGTGAGTTCTTCTTTACTTTTGTTCCTCAAGTTAACAAAAATATATGATCACATTTTACAGGTTATGGGATGATGGTGTTATCGATCCAGCGGACACTCGTACAGTCCTGGGTCTGAGTTTAAGCGCGGCACTCAATGCTCCAATAGAAGATACCAAATTTGGTGTGTTTAGAATGTAACCTTGGCAACTGATAAATAATGGTAATTGAACTGAGTGGAGTGCAATTTGGTCTGAAATCATACGCGTGATTTCAAAATCGAACGAGCGCGCAGCGCGAGTTCGATTTGAAATCGCAAGTATGATTTCAGACCAAAATTGCACGACACGAAGTTCATTTACCACTTTATTACATCCATTTTGAAATCGCAGAATTTAGTCAGTACTAATATTTTATTGATCGAGTAGCCGGTTTGTTAAAAAGCCGAAACAAAAAGGCTTTTACATCTCATTTTGTATTCGAAACAGAAATGGTGCGATTTAAGACAGAAATGATGCGATTTAGAACATGAATGACGCGATTTGGAACAGATGCGATTTAGAGCAAAAAATGGTGCGATTTAGGAATAAATCACACTGCTGAGAGCCAATCAGATTGCACGGATAGCCAGTGATTTCAAAGTGGGTGTAATAAAAGGTGTAATGGTGTGTGAAGAGTGGTGCCATAATCAGAAGGTTAGCTTTAGGTTACATCGGCTGAAGCCAGATTGTTTCTTCCAGTAAAATTACATGAAGAGGGACTTAAGTCCAACATTACTGTGTAATATAAAATAAGATAGATAAACAGAACTGGAGTGCTTTGGACCCGAGTCATTTGCTTCGTAACCTTCATCGATATCTACTATACCATCGAGAACTAGCTGTCAAATCCTCTAATTTTAAAAATATGCATGTACTTATGCCGTATCCCACTGAAAGCTAACCGTTTTCAATTCAGTGCTTAATCGTAATCACTGCAGATCAGTGTTAAACTCTCTAGTATGTAGTCTCCATAACTGGCCCTCTGCAGTTTTGTTTTGCTTTGTTTTTTTTTTAGGAATTCTACAAGGTTATTGGGGTTCTGTACCAGTATCGTTACGTTAAGAGAATAATGCGTTGTGTAAACCTCATAAGGTGTCCAAACTGGCTTCACCCTATGTTATCTGATGCTAACCTTATCAGAAATCTTCCTCCCAGATGATGAAATTGAATTGGGTTTATCCATTCCCCACCTTAGAAACGGCAAGGAAACTGGTTCGAGGTTACTTTAGTAATGACTTCTGGGACTGTTACTGGGGACAAGGAAGAAAAAATGGCCAATAGCTGAACAGCACGTCCCCGGCAAGAGTTAACTCGGCCCAGGTTCCTTCTCGTTTGTTATGTGGCTAGTGGGTACTCGTCACGAAAACAGTCATTTTGAAAACTCTTGTCTTTGGACCAGATAAAATCTGAAAACGCAGAGCGCGTGATTATAGGTTAAGTTTTCAAGCGTTGCCATCCCTCTTCAAAAGTGAACTTACTAATAGTGATCTTACGGCGGAAGAAAGAAGGCGGCAAACCTTGTGTGCAAGCGCGGTATTAATTACTTTTAAAAACAAATTTGCGTCATAAAACGTCACCCTCTTTTAACAAAACTTTTTGTAAAAGACCAGAACACGTTGTTAGGTAAGGATCATGACCAAACTCGCAAGTAATATCCCTGTCATGTTTGTCACACACAGGCGTTTTGCCGTCTTCTTGTTACTTGAGCTCACTAATTTTTGGCATACAACTCGTAACTTAGTACCTTACGGGGATGTCATGCTTAACTCAGAACGGAGAGACACTGGGCATGGTAGACGTTAGCTCTTGTACAGTTATCAATGTCATGCCCTTGGTACTAGGAATTGTTTTGTGGCTTCTCTGTACCCTTCCCTTTTCCAATACAGTAAAATTCCAAAAATAAGCCCCTCCATGTATAAGCCCCTCCCAAACCGGTAATGGTAATGGTAATGGTCCGTTAAATCGCCCTTCTAAATATAAGCCCCCCGGGGGCTTGTACTTGGACAATTAATTGCCCTCAAATACAAAGTAAAACACAGCTAAACCAGTAAATTTACTTCCAACTGTAAGGCTAGCTCAATCTATTTTGAAACGCAAATTTCTCTCCGTAGATAAGACCCTCCAAAAATAAGCCCCTCAAAAAGGGCCAGTGGAAAATATAAGCCCCAGGGTTTATTTTCGGAATTTTATGGTATCATCGCGAGACAGGAATTGGATCTTAAACAAGAGACTATAAAGGGGACAGAGAGGGCATTCCCCATATACACCCTATTCCATAGGTAATTCGTCTCGAGTTATTTTTAACACCACAGATCTCAAGGGGGATTACACAACAGCCAATCACATAGCGCGAATGTGTTCCGCGTGGATGACCCACGCTGAGAGCCACGCGTCCTTCACGAAATGACGCAGAACAAAATGGGGGAAGACGCGGAGAGCGATTTTGCTATTCCTTTTGTCGACGAAAACGACTACAGCGAGATTTCTGCGAAAGCTGTGTCAGCGAAACCGAAATTAAAAAAGAATCGCCCTTCCTCTCTTGTATAGAGCTAACAGTAGAGCAGGGAAATCCTTAACACACTGAATGTTCTCTCAGGATCATTTATAATTTACAGTTTGAAGAGAGCAATTTCTGGTTTGATGTTTATTTTTTTCAGTCTTTATAGCGATTATTCCTACCCACTTACTTTGTCAATTGTAGGCGAACCTTGCTAAAGCTGAATTTCAAGGGACCATATTCAAGCTCAGAAAGAGAAATAAAATTTCGTCGTTGCTTATTTACGTCCTCCATAAAACGCGAAATTAGGCATTTTCACGTCGTAGTCGTGCAAAAACGGGAAAGAAATGAACAAAAAAGTGTGTTGCACGTGCGAAGTTGTTGTTTTGCTAATTAAATCTATTGTTTTTTTGACGTTCTAGTTGTCGTCCGCGTCGTTGCATCTTAAACTCCCTAAATTGTACAAACGACCGGTTTCAATAGACCGGCGAAATTTGTAATTTTATTAAGGCACTGAGGTTACGACAACTTCGAGTTAAACTGATTTCACGGGTTGTCAAAGAGTCCAGCGATTCCTTTTTCCCAGGTGAGCGCCGACTCATTTCGCTTCAATATTCAGGAATGCTCTCGATCTTTTTACGCTTTTATTGCCTCTCGCCCGACGTGTTTTGCACGGCGTTTGGTCATGCGAAACCTCCACGAAACATCCACGCCTCGCGCGAGGTAACTTTATCCCGATTCTAAAAATAACTCGAGACGAATTACCTGTGGAATAGGGTGTATATGGGGGATGCCCTCTCTGTCCCCTTTATAGACTCTTGATCTTCAAGATATAACATATTTATTTAATTTCCTTTGTTTGTCCTAAACCTCGCTATATAGTTGAATTTTTCTAAATCGAAACCAGCTTTAATGGAATCTAAAAATTTTGTTACAAATAACGTATTATACCTGAAATACTTGACTAACACGTCATTTTTCAATAGGAATTAAACAATTGTAATGGTACTGAGTATCGTAAACCGTCCGTTTATAAGCCCCGCTCTTATAACTGATCACCCCAGTTATAGGCCCATCTACCCCTAAACAAAGAAAATAAATCCGGTTATAAGTCCTCCCCGGATGTAAGTCCCTTTCTAGCTTGTATTGAAATGAATTCGATTTTTACGATGTCTGGCAGCTTAAAAAAGCGAGTAAATTCAGAAAGTGTTTTGATCAGTACTGCTATGCAGCTTGTTTTGAATGCTATTTACCCCTGTTATAAGGCCCCTCCAACCCCCCCCCCTCTTACGAAGTGTTGTGATCCCAGGGCTCATAAAGGGAAGTTGACGGTATTTTGTAATATATCTTTTCCATCTGAAATGTCAGAAATGAGAGTTGAATTCGGGGATACATGAGTTAAACGACTAACACAATGAACAGCTTATTAAGGTAAACCTTTTATTGCTTTCAATGAGAAATAAAAGCCTGTATACAAGGAGTTGTCTGTTCATGTCATATTAGATTGATATGAGAGTTACTTTAGTATACTATTGTACACCAATCTCAAATGTATTGAAATCCAATCCAATTAAGTTTTTTTTATATAGCAGTCTTAAAAAATTTCTCCGCGCATTATTTTTCCTGCAAAGGAAATACAGGGACTACGTTGTAATTGGAAGCAACAGCGTCAATGATATCTCTGGTTTACATCGGCATCATGAGCAAACCAGATTTTATGCCAAAAAAAGCTGGCCAGCAGATTCTGACTTTATTTTGAATATTCGACTTAAAAATCTTGCACTTCTAGATACTAACTAACTGACGAAACTGCCCCAACACTGACACTTGCGGCTAAAGCGCAAAAATTACTTTTTTGTTTATTTTATTTTCGCCCTTGAATGGCGGTTTCATGGCATAAATCCTGTACCCGTTTAGAGTAATCAGTTGATGGAAGCCCAGCGGAAATCAAAGTCGCTAAGTATTCGCGACAGAAAAAAAAGGAAAACTGACTAATTCGCGTAAACAAAATGCACTTTAATCCTCGTTGAGGGTGGTTCAATTCCAGTCATTTGGTTGTAGAAATTATGCATGGTAGAGCTTGCGTTGACTGACCTGTGAAGAACAAAACAAAGCTTAGGCTTAGGACAAGCGTTGAACTTTTCATGAGACGAACGAAACTGTTAACTGGGTCGTCTGTTAGGTCAGACGTCAAACTTAGAACTCCTCGAACCAATCAACTGAATCAGATCAGCGATGAATTTTCTCGCGAACGAAGCTAAACATGTTATCATACAAATTTTTAATTTATTAGTTTAGTTCGTCGCATGTGAAGATCGACGTTTATTCCGGAGATGGGCCTAGTTGTTCAAAGCCGGGTTAAGATAACCCAGGGTTTGTGCGAGATTTGAATTCAGATTTGAAAGCTTAAAAAGTATTTCAGTTTTAATTCTTTTTGCCTACAAGTTGATGATTGGAAGCCTTAAAAATAACAAAGAAAATTATCCCAGAAAATGCTTTTGAACACAAGAAAAAGAAACCAGGGTTAAATTTAACTCCGGGTTAAGCGCTAATCGTCCCTCGAACGACTGGGCCTTGATCTTCAGACTTTCTATCCGTCTGAAGTAGCGGGGAGAGAACTGATAAATGATTCATTCCTTACGAGCGCGGATTTCTGTGTCCAGAAGCAGTCAATCCTCTTATAGAAATCAGCCAATGAAAACAACATAACTTTGATGGATCCTCAGGTTGACCAGCAATACATATGATAGTCTTTTATATTTGCTGCATTGTAACTTTTTAATTACACTGACTGAAAAATAGCTTATAACGTACGTTGTTGGCGTTGTTACTTTGTATGTTTGTTTTTAACGCAAACAATTACGGATAGAAGGTAGCCCGCGAGCAAGCTCTCCGCGGCGCTTTGGCGTCGGGGCGGGTAAAGGAAGGAGAGCTTGTAACTATGTCTCTGGGATTTGAATTGCACCTCCAATTCCCCTGTGGCTCCCCGTCGACTGAGCTGTCAGATTTCCGCCAATCAGCGAGAGGCGGAAACGTGCGGGAAAGTAAACAAACGTTGGAAAACACGTGCCCATGGTAATGACGTCATTATTAATGTCATCTCCACCAATCAGCATTTTGCATCGACTTTTTCGACACAGATATTCAAATTTCAGAGACCTACAAGTTGTAAGCTCTCCTTCCTTTTCCCGCCCCCGCCGTCAGAGCGTGCGCCCCGGAGAGCTTGCTCGCAGGCTAGATAGAAGACATCCGTTCCCACACCCTACGAGCACAGCCTCCTTTTGCTTTGATCAAGGAAGAGAAAAGGAAGCTCTACCTGAATCGCGTTAATCCTTTGAAGTAGCCACAGCCCAAACTTCTGGACTGGTCAATCTTGTTTTCTCTCGTCAAACTGGGTTTTTGAGTGCGAGCATCCGTTATTGATAAACCGATGTTCATAACCGAGCCCGCTGAGCCAAGCGCACGGATATTAGGTCTTGGTTCGAAGCTCTATCCTAGCAACATGCCGCGCATGCTCAACAAAGATCTTACTCGATTCATACAGAGTCTTTCTCGAGTAAACCACAATAGAGTAAGCAAAAGAAAGACTGTGCTGGCAGGGTGCCGTTACCAATAATAACGTGAAACATTAACCGCCGAATGAAAGTTTCCCAGGCCGGGCCCTTTGTGTTCTTTCTTTTTGTGGACTATACGTTTACGTAGTATTAGCATAGTAAAGCACCTTGGCTACATGTTACTTATCATAGACAGACCTATCAACAAGCCAAGAACACTCGACCGGACATCGCAGTCAGAATCATCAGCTTGACATTTCCCACCCAGAACAGTACAGACACTAGAGAAGATTTCCCGGTTGGCCGGACTTTAATAAGGATAACCTTGTACCTTTAAAACATGAAAGTTTAGTCTCCCGTTCCTTCATTTTCTTCCAGTAGATCTCTACAATCAACGTTATAAAAGCTGCAACTATCCCACAGCCCATGACGACGTACACGCCCAACATATTCAGAAAACCCATCCGCTGTTGAGACAACGCTGCCAAAAAGAAAAAAATGAAGGGAGGAAGAAGATGGAAAGAAAAGAAATAAGGGTTTTTGACCAAGAGTGAAGTCAAGATGGATGGACATTAGCCAAGGTCCTTTTTTTTTTGCAATTGTTTGGACCGAGACGAAGTCAAGGTGAGCAAAAACGCGAAAAAAGAACGAGGCCAATAAGGAGCTTAAGCAACAATGACGGCGGCGGTTACGAAAACGTCACTTAAAAAGTGAATTCGCGCTGCTTCAAAATTTATCGCGCTTATTCCATCTCATTTAATTCATGAAATGTTAGCAAATTTTTCTGGAGTTGAATTCTAAAAGACTGTATCAAAGTTCAGGAAAACAAAAAAAGAGTCGTCTGCTGTTCACGTCCTCGACGAATCGAGAAATTAGGCACTTTCACGTTGTAGTCGTGCAGCGTCGGCAAAGAAATGTACAAAAAAGGGTGATGCAGCGCAAAGTTGTTGTTTTGCTAATCTAAATCTCTTGCTTTTTTCTCCTTCTCGTTGCTGTCGCCGTCGCCGTCGCCGTCGCCGTCATCGTTGCTTAAGCTCGCTAATATCCATCACTCTTGACCGAACAAAGGATTCATTATGTAGCTTCGAGAACTTTTTATCATGGAAACCAAAACTTGTACATTTGCCGACTCAGACAATTTGGAAAACTTGAGCCTGATTTGTAAGTAGTAAGGTTTGCACCACAGATCTTTGGGTTTCAAGGTGGTGTGATTTGAAGTGAGAAAAATATATATAGTGCTCTGTTGCGTGGATGGGTTTCCTGCAAACTAGTCTTGTCATTTGATGTAATTGATGATGAAGTTCGAGAGTTTCTAACGAAATAAAAACTCTGAAACTCTAAATTTAATCGCTCTGAGTTTGAAATTTCTTTACATTACATGGCTTTGTCACAGCAAGAAAAAAGAAACTCTTAGCTTTCAGCAAAAACATTTAGTATTGTCAACTGACTTTATAGAGTCAATTTAACACCTAGCCTGCTGGTATACAACCGTCTCTCCTTCTCGCTTCTTGCCGCGCTATGGGCGTCTCTTGCGCAAAATATCCACAGCGGGGCAAGAAAGGAGGAGAAACAGCTGCATTCGCAGAAAATTTGCCACCATAAAATGATTACAAACTGCTACGTTTGATTGATTAGAGGGCTAAAGGCTCTCAAGGGTTTCGTGTATAAACAAATTTGTGCAATTTCTTTTGTAACTCACTTGTTTCCTGTTCTTCGGGACATTCATTGGCCATGTCCCACCACTTTCGCTTCAGCTTATCCAGGAAGTCATTTTCATGAAGACGCAAAATGGCTAGAGTAAAATCCATAGTATGTGGATCATAAGCTGGAAAACCGAGCGCAAGTCCCTTGGCTCTACTGAGACCTGGAACTGGATGGAAAATGAAGCTTATTTGTCATACTGTTTTGGAAATTCTCTCAACCATAGGATTCAGATCAAGCAATAACGACTGTTTGAGCGTATAACTAAGGGCGCTTTCCATTATTGTCGACCAGCCAGACAACTCCCGTCGTAATGAAAATTTCACCTTTAATCAAAACGATCCAGCCAGATTAGTCAAATCCTGAGTTCTAGTATGCAAGAAAGAGATGATTTTTTTCATCAAAAACTCTTGTAAAAAGCCTATTTCATTTTCAAAATCACTGGTATGGCCTTGGTTCGACCGACAGGCCTGAGTTTTGGAAAGCGCTATCTAATGGAGATACCACTCTTCAAATAAAGCGCAAAAAATCCCTGATAGGCTGTTTGCCCGGCCTATTTGGCTGTATCGGTTGACGATGATCTTACCTCACCTATGTAAAACTTCAGTGTATCCTTCTTGAGAGAGGATTAACCCGGTTAACCGAGGTTTTTTTCGGCTTCTGATACCCAGATGCCGGAGTTTTCCCAAATGAACATTTCATCCCGTTTAAAGGGCTATATCAACCCTATTTGCTGTCTTCGCTTCAATTTAATTTAAAAAATAATGGTCCAGTTTTGTTTTTTAAGGCTATATTTAGCCATTGAAACTGTTTCCTGTTTTTTGTTGCCACGGATGGCAAGGATGGACATGGATTGAAACTTGAAAAAATTGGCCCAACATTTTCACTGAGTTTTAATACTATGCTTGCAAACATCATCAAAAAAATATTATACTGGTTATTGCTCCCTGATGGAATTTGTTTGATTATTATATCTTCTTCAAATAACTCTATACGATCATTTCAATGAGTAAAGGCACAACCTTAGCAGAGAATTGACATAAACAGCAATATCCTTTTAAAATAGCCCCTTCAAGGTTACAAAACCTTTCCAGTTTGGAATACACATCAATACACATGCTTCCGCAGAAAAGGGGGCGCTAAAGGGTTTGCGGTGATGCGGTTTTGCTCGATTTTTGGTGCGGTTTTGCGGAAATTTTATTTTACGTTGCCATATTGCCGTTTTACAAAACCAGGCTGTTTGCGGTATTTAGAAATTTTCGGGTGATTTCAATGCTGTTTGCGGTTTTCTTGTGTTATTCTGTACGGTGTTTATACGTATTTCTGTACGGGTTTTCGGTATTCGCACGTCCTTTACGCCCCACCTCAAGAAGGGAACTTTAGCAACATTGTGGCCTATTTTCCGGTTTTTGAGTTCGAACTATTTCTGGTTATTGAATAAGTAATGATAAAAAACTTTCAGAAATTGTTCCGGAAAAAAAGGCAAGAGTATTTCTACTTTGGCGATTAAATTTCACTATCACTGTCACGAAGAAAGTAAATTTGTCCCGGCTAATAACCAATGGGCAAGGCTTGTCCTGTCATGCAAGCCATCTTGATCCACCAGGACCTTACATACCTGTCATAAGGTCGCATGGACGGTGGTTGGCAATATACTCAAAAGTAGTGCCAGCACTGACAAACACAAAGTTTGGTTTTTCCCTCACTTGTTGGATTCCATCAGAAGTGTTCTCGACGAATGTTTTTTCTGCCTTTATTCGCTGCCAAATCTTTACGAACGGCAAATAGTGGGTGTTCTCGAAGGAGTCAACTGTACTAGAGGATCCAATTACACCAACTTGGTAGGAAGTTTTCGCAATGTCTTCCAGGCTTTTAATCGGGTTGGCAGCATTTTTGACAGTAAGAAAAGCCGCTAGGTTGGCGGTATATGTTGATACCCAGACAAGAATGCAAAACCAGTAACATCCGGTAAGAATACGACCTGCAGAAAGATGAAAAAATGGAATAAATGAGAAATAAAACGAAAAAGAAATGAAATGTCGGAACGTAGGCAATTATCTTACCTAGTATCCTAAGACTTATTAGTCAGCCTGAAGTGACCAGAGGAGTCTATGGGGCATGAAATTTGTACGGTGAAATTCTAAGAAAACTGAGTAAGGTAGCTTTTCTTAGAACTGACAGGGACGACTAGGCCCCCTTTTTACATGGAGAAAAGTTGTCCCACAGGTAGGAGGGTTACTTGCCAACCCGAGCTACCCCGGGCGAGCCAACATTTCCTACATTTCCTTACAAAACTAAGCAAATCGTTTACATGACAAAAAAAAAGTTGGCTCGACTAAGCGAGACTTGGCGAGACAATCAGAGCATGTGCAAGCTAAGCACTGTTGACTCGGGCAAAAGTGCGGGGGTTAACATTTTCCCTATATAAAGACTGGATAAAGCTGAGTCGGCTGGGAGGGTGACCTTCTTTAATTACCAGGCCGGGCAGCTTTTCTTCATATACACGGGGCCTTTTTTCTTTGACGCTTCGACCTTACAAAGACATTCATGTTTATTCCACTTTGAGTCCATTAAAAGTATATTTGCCTCTAAAAAGGGATTCAAAAGTTGAAAAGTTGACGCATTAACTGAAGCAGTAGATATTTAAAATCTACCAAAAAATGGGTTTTTTTTCCCTACCTGACAAACTTCTTGGTGTGTTATCACCACCTTGCTGCAGCATACAAGCTAATGCAAACCACATACTGTCGAAAAAGCTGATTTTGTCCGAAGTGCCTTCACCAGCTTCGGGACTGTAGTAGTTTAATACAAATATTGCGACAGAGATGATCACCAAGGTCGCTAGAGTACAAACCCAAACCACATTTTCAAACGGGGTCATAAAT